ATATATATATATGACTATCCGATATAAGTCCTTTGATACACAAAAGTTTTAATTTTGATAAAGTCCAGTTTCTCTGTTTTTTCTTTTGTTGCTTATGCTCATCCAATGTCAAAAACAAGCTCCTGCAACTTTATCCCTATGTTTTCTTCTGAGAGTTTTGTGGTTTTAGTTCTCATATTTAGGTCATTGATCTTGAGCTAATTTTCGTATATGGTGTGAGGTATGAGTCCGGCTTCATTCTTTTGCATGTGGAGATCCAGTTGTCCCAGTACTGTTTGGTGAAGAGACTGTTCTTTTCCCAGTGAATGGACTTGGCACCCTTGTCAAAAATCAGTTGGCCATGGATGTATGTGTTTGTTTCTGGACTCTCAATTGTATTCTGTTGGTCTGTATTTCTATCCTTATACCACTACCAGTATCAGTTTGGCCCTTTAGAGGCTTGCCTCTAAGCTCTGGTAGGGTAAGCTCAGGTAGTCATTACTGAGGGCAGTGCCCTTCTGAGGATTCTACCCACTACCCTGTGAATCGAGCGGAAGTCTTTCCACCGTGGCTGTAGGAACACAACATACTCCTGTCCCTGCGTGAGCCCTAGGGGTACCCATGTGAGCCCTGGCATCCCCATGTGAGCCCCAGGATGTCTGTATTCTGGCTGTTCCCCGACTACCAGGTGGCTCTGGCTCCACTCACATATGCACAGATAGTCTTCCACTGGAGACTTGAGGGCCCTCTGCACCCAGAGCCCCAGCGCTCTGTACAGCTCCCTCCCATGCTGTGTGCTACTCTCCAAATTCTAGCCACCTCAGCCTCCCTGCTCCCCTGAGCTCTGAACTCTATCCTGGATGCGGGAGGTGGCTGGGTTCTGTTAGAGTCTCCTCTCACACGGCCCCCAGCCCCTGAGCTGGTGCAGTCATATGGCTCACTCTGCACAAGACCCTCCTCCTGGGTGGTGGTCCTGCACTGCCTGTTGTCCAGTGACTAAAAACCAGAGTATTGTTTATTTTCTCCAGTTTTCTAGTCATTTGGGAGTCTGTTACTTGGTCTCAAACAGGTGCACGAACAAATGAATGAATGAATGATGTCGCATGTCGGGGGCTTGATGAAATTTCAGGACAGGTGATGTCACTGCTAAGTGGGCTGATGTTATCTTTCCTTTTTCTCCTTTTTTCTTGACCAGTTGTGGTGAGAATGGGAAAAAGCAAGACGGCGCAGGCTGTGAGGAGGGCGTGGGGGCAGCCTGGCACTCAGCTCCTAGCGTGCTCCTGGGGTTTCAGCTTCGTATGGCTGTGTCGCCTCCAAAGGTCAATGCCTTGTGTGTCCAGGTGAAGTGGAACCCAAGGGAGAAGAGCCACGGGTCTCCATGGACTGCCTTGACGGCCCCAGAGACCAGGCCACCAGGGGACAGGCCTGACAAGGCCACCCATCTCTGGCCACCCTGGCTTTGGGTCAGCAGAGGACAAGGAGGGAGACAGCTGACTGGACTCACTTCCCGGGCCAGGCCGGCTGCTCCTTCCTGCATTGGCCCCCCTGCCCCCAGCTGGTGGGGGTGGCTGGGCGCTGGCAGTGCTGCCCTGCTGCACCCCTGCCCTCAGGGAGCGGCCTGACCACTTCTGATGGCTGCAGCGCACGAGGTGAGTGGCCTGTGCTTCCTGGGCAGGTGTGGGGGTGAGGGGAGGCTGGGGGCCTGGCCCCTGTTGTCAGCCCTAAGAACTGACATTGCTGCCCAGAGCCCAGAGCCCTGAGTCCGTGGAGGTGGCCATCCCTGCAGCTGCCCTTCCTGGTCTCCTCTGGGCAGGGGCCTCGTGCATCAGGTCTCCTCACTGGGGGGTGCCCTGTCTGCCCTACTTTCAGGGCCCTGGGCACAGGCAGGCCCTCTGGGGAGCCCCTCATAGTGGGTGGGAAGAGGTGGAGGGATGACACTGTCTGTGAGCAGGACCAAGCACAGTAGGCTTCCCTCCCTGCAGATCTGACCAGGCGTCTGTCCTGGAAGGCCCTTAACGCAGCCATGGGTTCTGGGGGAGGGCGCACTCAGCTGTGAGCCTTTCACTGGGACAGGGCTTCCCCTTCCACACCTCTGAGCCCCCCGACATCGGTAAAGTCTCCCACTGCTGAGCCCCCCGACACTGCTGAGCCTCCTTTACCACTGAACTCCCCACCACCAAGACCCCATACAGTGTCTCCATGGGAGATACAAAGTACAGGCAGTCCCCAAGGTACAAATGAGATCTGTTCTTAACTGTGTCTTTAAGAATTTGTAGGGAAGTTGGAACAAGTGCATACAATTCTTATTCACAGTGGCTAAAAGTTCAGCTGCTAACCAAAAGGACAGCAGTTCGAATCCACCAGCTGCTCCTTGGAAACTCTGTGGGGCAGTTCTACTCTGTTCTATAGGGTCACTATGAGTTGGAATCGACTCGACAGCAATGGGTTTTGTTTTTTGTATTTTTAGTGCAAGAGAAGGCTCGAAGCGTCTTCGACGATTTAGAAGCGGCACGCGCAGGTGAAGGCGATCGTGATGAAGAGTTTGTTGTGAGTCGGGGTACGTCGATCCTTTCAAAGCAGGGCTTCGAAACCGGTGCTTCCCAGTTCAGTCATGGCCTAGGAAGTCAAAGATGGTGGCACCCCGCTCAGAGGTGGCGGCTGGCCACACTGCTTTGTATGTGCGTTGCTCTCCACAGTCCTGCCAGTGATCCAGTCTCCCACATCAGGCCCCTGAAAGGGCTCACTGTGCCTCTTCGGAGTCTCTTGTTCCAGGGCTTCGACCTGTAATTTTTCCTGTTCCGGTTACCATGATGAATCACCCAAATTGTAAAACTTCGGGTCTGTTCCTCTTCTGCTTCGTTGGCCATGACAGAACTGATTTGAAGCCCTGTTTCGATGTGAGAGCAAATGTATGTAACATTAAAAGGTAAGTACAAGTTGTCCATAAGTCAGACGTTGGTAACCCGGGGACGGCCACTCGTTCCCCCCACACCCCTGGGAAAAGAGTTAAGTTACAGAGAACATTATAGCTCATGGGTCCCTGTGGTAGTAGAAGTGTTGGAAAGGACTCAACCATTACTTTGGACTCAAGCCTGAGAGTGCAGTTAGAGCCTCGGTGGCTGCTGCGTCCTGGAGACTGACCAGGGCTGCCAACCAGGTAGAGGCTCCTGCGTGGGCTTGGGCAGTGGGTGAGGGTGTATTTGCCCCTTCTTCTCCATGGAGACACCAGCTGTTGTCTTGGGTCTGCTGCCTGATAAATCTCAGCCGTTCTCCTGGGCCCCCCGTGGCAGGGCAGTGTAAAGTTGAGTTCTCTGCTTTCTGGTGGCGCCTGTATCTGACTGTGCTCTCAAGATGCCTTAGCCCACAGGAAACCCCCTCTCCCCAATTATGAGCCGTAACTTTATCACCCTCCATCCGTCCTGCTGGATTTGAGATGTGGAGGCCACAGAAGCCTGCCCTTCACTCCTTTGGGGTGGCCTGAGTTGGGGTCCCCCTGGGGAGATGCTCATGCTTAAATGAGGAACACACAGAGCCACTGAAGAGGGGGAGAGCATCTGAAGCTGCTGTTCTGTGCAGAACACCCTCCTACACATGTCCACTCACCCAGCCCTGCTGGTGAGCACTTGCTGGGGCCAGGCCTGGTTCTGGGGCTGCTGCCTGAGCCCCAGTTCCCATGGAGCACGGCGAGTGCGATGGGACTGATCGAAACAAGTGTTATTGGTGCTCAGTGGTATCAAATATAAGCGGGATAAAGGATCTGGAGAATAATGGGGCAGATGTGCTAACTAAATAGGATGCGGTGACAAGGTGAAGTCTGAGCAGAGGTTCCAGTGAAGGGAGAGACAAGCGTGTGGCCGTCTAGAGGCAGAGCGCTCAGGCAGAGGAACAGTACAAAGGCCCTGAGGGAGGAGCCTGTTTGCAAAACAGGGTTGAAAGCATCATCGTGAAACAAACTGTAGTGCCTGTAGATGGGCCCCACGGCCAGTCCTGGGCAGTTACATGCAATTCTTGTCAGAAGCCAGGACTGCCCACCTGGCCCAGAGGGCAGAGCCCCCAAAAAGAAAGCAGCTCTGGAGCTGGCAGGCTGCAGGCCCCCGACCCCGACTCCAGGAGCAGGGTAACAGATGCTCCTGCTCTTTGAGGAGCAGCAGAGTGGGGTTCTGAGGGAGAATTGCCAGCTCCTGGCAGTGTCCACCTGTCATGGATTGAATTGTGTCCCCCAAAAATATTTGTCAACTTGGCTAAGTCATGATTCCCAGTATTGTATGATTGTCTACCATTTTATCATCTGATATGATTTTCCTATGTGTTCTAAGTCCTATCACTATGTTGTAATGAGATGGATTAGTGGCAGCTATATTGATGAGATCTACAAGATTAGATAGTGTCTTAAACCAGTCTCTTTTGAGATATAAAAGAGAGAAGCAAGCAGAGAGACATGGGGACCTCATACCACCAAGAAAGCAGTACTGGAAGCATGGCGCATCCTTTCGACCTGAGGTTCCTGCACGGAGAAGCTCCCAAACCAAGGGAAGACTGGTGACACGGACCTTCCTCCAGAGCCAACAGAGAAAGCCTTCCCCTGGAGCTGATGCCTTGAATTTGGACTTGCAGCCAACTAGACTGTGAGAGAATACATTTCTCTTTGTCAAAGCCATCCACTTGTGGTATTTCTGTTAGAGCAGCACTAGATGACTAAGACAGAATTTGATACCAGGAGTGGCGTGCTGCTCTAACAGATACCTAAAATGTGGAAGTGGTTTTGAAACTGTGAATGGATAGAGGACTCAGAAGCGAGTGAGGAGAACTGTTAACACCAGAGAAGGCGCAGATGGTGAGAAGCAGCAGCAGAGGACCGGCCACAGCAGAACAGTGTGACACAGTGCTGGAGCCAACACACGGAGTGAGAGAGCTGAGTGCCTTCATGTAGGAGGCTTCCTGGTGTGGGGTGCCGCTGGGCACTGATCAGTGGAGCCAGGCTTGCCAACCCACAGAGCAAGAGAGCTGGGTGCCTTCCGGCCAGAGTTTACTAGCCGAGTAGGGTGCCTGCAGGCACTTATCAGTGGAGCTGCAGAGCTTTGGAACACTTGCCCCAGCAGGGCAGATGGGGGCATGAGGCCCGAGGGCTGAGAGACCAAGAAACCAGGAGGCAGAAGCTAAGAGACAAGGAACACAGGAAGCCAAACTACCTGTCTCAAAAGGTATGTCCACAACCTCTGGGGTTTCAAAGCGTGGAGCCATGGCCTCTAGTGTTTCTAAGGATGGAGTTGCCACTCAGATGGACTAGTAGAATGGTGTGCCTAAAGCTGAGGGAGCAGAGTTGCTGTCCCAGTGGTCCTGCCTGGAATGCAGAGCTGAAGCCCAGGGCTGAGGGGCCTCCACTCTGAATCCTGAGAGTGTGGCCAGTACCTAGAGTCTGGAGGGCAGGGCCATTGTGTAAACGGTCTCAGAGAACGGAGGATTATTTTCAAGCCTTAAGGGCTAATGTAATGTGTTCTGCTGATTTGCTTGGTGCCTGTTATCCCTTCTTTCCCTCCAGTTTCTCCCATTTGTAATGGAAATGTCTACTTTGTGCCTGTTCTGCCATTGTACTTTGGAAGCAGATAACTTGTATTCTAGATTTCACAGATGAAGAGGAATTTTTGGAGTTTGGCCTTGGAGTTGATTGAAGACTTTTGCTATGATATGATGGGGTGAATATGTTTTATACATGGGAAGGACATGAATTTTTGAGGGCAAAAGCGTGGAATGTCAAGAATTCAATTATGTTCCCCCAAAATATGTCAACTTGGCTAAGCCATGATTCTCAGTACTGTATGATTGTCTGCTATTTTGTCATCTGATGTGATTTCCCTATGTGTTGCAAATCCTATCACTATGATGTAATGAGATGGATTAGTGGCAGTTACACTGATGAGATCTACAAGATTGGATAGTGTCTTAAGCCAATCTCTTTTGAGATATAAAAGAGAGAAGTGAGCAGAGAGACATGGGGACCTCATACCACCAAGAAAGTAGTGCCAGGAGTAGAGCGCATCCTTTGGATCTGAGGTTCCTCCGTGGAGAAGCTTCTACACCAAGAGAAGATTGATGACATGGACCTTCCTCCAGCGCCAACAGAGAAAGCCTTCCCTTGGCGGTGACACCCGGTATTAGGACTTGTACCCTACTAGACTATGAGAGAATAAATTTCTCTTTGTTAAAGCCATCCAGTTGTGATATTTCTGTTAGAGCAGCACTAGATGACTAAGACATCACCTTCGCTTTTAGAGCTCGGTGACAAGGACATCGGCTCTTTCTTGAAAACCTTGGAGGGGGCACTGGAGGAGGGGGACAAGCCAGAGGTAGGTTGGCCTTTACAAGGACAGCAGACTAGCTTAGTGTCAGCTTAGCCCCTGCCCCTCTGCTGCTGCCCAAGAGATAGGGTGAAGCTTCCCAGAGGGAGCTGTCATTCAGACCCTCTGCAGTTTCTTCATACACAGTGCCGGCATTCAGTCTAAGATGATGAGCCATCCTGAGACATAGGACCGTGAGAAAAAAGGGTGATAGAATCAGACCTACAGGAGGCTAAGACACTGGGGTTACCAGACATGGGCTTTACAGTAGTTGTGATTAATACAGTAAGGAAAATGGATAAGATGGAAAATTTTGCAGAGGACTAGAATTCATAGACAAGAATAAAATGGAAGGTCTAAAACCAAAGTACAACACAGCAGTCTCCCGACGCGCAGTTCTGCTTTCTGCGGTCTGTTACCCAGTCAGCTGCCGTCCTGGACTCGGTTGGAGCCACTGCCTCCCCCGGGATCTGGCTCTCCCCGGCCCTCAGATTTTCACTTCCTGGTCTTCCTTTGGAAGCCCTGGTGGCTTAGTGGTTAAGAGCTAGGCTGCTAACCAAAAGTCGGCAGTTCGACTCCACCAGGCGCCCCTTGGAAACCCTGTGGGGCAGTTCTGCCCTGTCCTGTAGTGTTGCTGTGAGTCGGAATCGACTCGACGGCAGCAGGTAGGCTTCCTTTTTCAGGGGCGTGTTGGCTAGGCCACTGTCTGCATGAGGGAGGGAGAGTGCTGGCCGGGGCGAGGCCTTGGCACAGGAGCCGGGTTGGGGGGTGGGCAGGGCCAGGGTCTTGGAGCGGAGGCAGGGGAGGTACCGGCGGGGCGGTAGTCTCAAGGCCAAGGGTCAGGGCTGTAGGGTGGGTTCTTGGGGCTGGTTGGGAGGCACGAGGGGGTGGGGTAGAGGTGCGACGCATATATATATATACGCTGCGGTCCTATCTGCGGTTTCAGGTATTCACTGGGGGACTGGAAACATACCCCCGGCAGATAACGGGGGGACTACGGTAACTAAAATTTAAATTCAGTAACTGTATTTCATGGCAGAGTGGAGGCGGCTGAAGAGAGGATTTGTGAGCTGGAAAATCAGTCAGTGGAAAGTAGCCCTGCGCACACCACCACGAGTACCGTGCACTGTGCTTACGACAGGTGAGCTGCCTTCTCCGAGACCTTCAGCCCCACTTGCTCCTCTGTGGACCCTCATCCTTGGGCGGGGAGGGCGTGCTGTCGAGGAGGCTCTTTGTGCTTGGAAGAGACCAAGGTGGCTTTGGAATGAGAAATTTGGGGAACATTTTTTGTTGCAGCCCTTGTTGAAGGCATTTTCGGCATGTTGGGAGGCCATTTTCCTGCCCCAGTGAATAGAGTTTTGTGGCATTGGGTGAGTAAGGGCCTCCGTTCACCGTTAGGAACCCAAGCTCTCATCTGTACTCACGGGCTCAGGATGAGAGTGTGCTGAACGTCTCCAGCACGCAGCTCCTGAAGTACCTTTGTACACAAACTTCTTTTCGTCTGCTTCTCTCTTAGGAGCGGAGTGCAGAATAATACAGGGGCAGGGAGCTGGGGGCTGCCTGTGATATGCAGAGCAGGTGAGGCCTCGGCTCCGTCCGGCCTCACGTCATGGGGGCTCAGGTGCCGACTGTCCCACCTAGCGATGGGCACAAGTGAGATGGGGTGCGGGGGCTGGCACAAGTGAGATGGGGCGCGGGGGCTGGATCCGCCATAGGGAGTGACTGTGGGGCTGTTTCCAATCTGTGCAGTTCACGTGCGTGTGATTGACTCTGAGAATTTTCCACCTGGTTAACGATTTCTTTATAATGAACAGAAATAAATTCATGAGGGTGGCGAGTGAGGCCGGGTCACGGGCCAAGGCGAGCAGGTTGAGCCGAGTGATGACCGCTCACCCGTGCAGGTCACTGATGGATTCAAGCAAGGTCGCCGCAAAGACGCTGGCCCTTTGCCTGGAGGTAAGGAGAAAAGACCCTTTGTCCTCTAAAACGCTCCGTCTGGGGGGGCAGTGAGCCCCTCCCTAGGGCAGGGATGGTGTCCCCTGTGAGGTCTGGGCCGTGACAGCCCCCAGTTGCTAGGGAGCTCCTGTTCGGCTCAGGCCGGGGCCCCGAGGCCATCTGGGTGCGCCGTGCCCTCTGCCTCGGGACAGGAGGGCTGGTAGAGGAAGGCACCTGCGGCCAGGAGGAAGCAGCTCTGGGAGCTGGGGACAGAAGGGGGCTGTTGGCTCAGCCGCGTCCACCGTGGTTTTCCAAGTGCCCCACCGGCCCAGCTGACACAGGCGTGGGGGCCTTTTCCTGAAGGAGACAGACGCCGTCTCTGCTCTCACGGGGCTCGTGCTGCAGTTGGAAGGCCAGACGCATAAGTAAGCACAGAACGGAGGAGACTGTGATGATGGGTCTGCAGTGGTGGGGGCAGGTGGGGAGGGGAGACCTCCCTGAAGCCGGTGACGAGAAGGCCAACTCTCCAGGCAGAGCGGGGCCCCAGCCAGCCACCAGGCCATGTGAGCACTGGGCTGTGTGTGAAGGGCAATGAGAAACCGCTGACAGACTGCGAGCAGGGAACATGATGGGCTTGAAGATTGTTCTGGGGACTGCGTGGAGACTTGGGTGGCGGGGGAAGGGTTTTTGGAAGCAGGGAGACCACTGGAAGGCTCTGGGAGTGTCCGGGTGGGAGGTGGTGGTGACATGGGCCCTTGTGGTGGCTGCAGGACGAGGTGGGGCTGAGGGAACACAGGACCACAGGTGATGGATGTGGGTGTTTGTCTGAGCGCCTGGGGGGTGAGGGGACAGCCGGGATGCCACGTGGAGTCTGATCTGGCCACGAGATCCACGTGGAGATGTCTGCGCTGAGTAAACTCTGGGCATCGAGCAGCTGTCTCAGCGAGGGCCGTCGGCAGTTACCAGCAAGCAGGGATCCCCACGCCTCTGAAGGCCACAGGGCCTTGACCCCAAGACTTGATGACTCTCCACCGGCCGGAATTCAGTCCTTCCGCCTCCCTCTCCACACTCGCATGCCCGGGTCCCCCCTGCCTCCTGCTCCACATGCCCTCGTCCCATCCGTTTGACTTCCCAAGACCTCAGAGCTGGCCCCTTGCCTCCCCCTCCTGCCCTCACTCTCAGACTGAAGTGGGTGGGGGCACAGCTGTGGCTCCCCAGCGGGCACGGAGGCACGGCTGTGCTGTTCGCCAGGGGCTCCCCAGCTGCCTCAGTTCACAGCACCTTTAGTCAAGTTTCAACAATTGTTTAGGGCAACCCTAGGCCAAACGAAATACCTGATAGTTCCGTTTATTAAGTAGATCAGTCCAGACAGCTTAGTAAATACTTACGTCCTGGCAACTTAACAGATGTTTGAAAAAGTAACACACATGAATTGACACAAAAAACACTGATTTCATTCTTAAGGAACCACAGTTACGGGATGTTGCACCCGTTGGCCCTGCGTGGTTAAACTTTGGGGTCAGGTGGAAACCCCTGCCTTCAGGGCCTCTTCCACATCAGTTTTCACAGCTATGGCTTTTTTTGTAGCAGCTGGCAAAAACCCGGCTTTGTGAAGACACAGCATCACAGACGGGAGTGTAGCGACAGTGTGCACATCACCCCCCAAGCTTGTGTCTGCGTGGTGTGCAGAGATGTCCGATGTGGCTGTTTCCCTCAGAACCGACCTGCGCTGCCCAGTGAGTTCATGGTGGTGTGGGGAGCTGCGGTGCACAGTTTGGGCGCCACAGCTCTGTGCCCCCTGATCTATGAGCCTGGTGTGCTGTCAGAGCGCCGCCCCCCTCACGCCAGCTCTGCAGAGCGCTGTGGCTTCATGAAGCCTTCGTCTGAGGTCATCTGGCCCCGGTCAGGGGCTTGCTCACAGGAGTTTTTAGCCTTTAACAAAAGTCAGCTGGCAAACCTCATGGCTGATTTAAAAACGCCCCCTCCAGTCAGAGAGCGCCTGGCTTTCCACATTTTAGCTGTCAGTGCCCATTTCCCTGTTGACACAGACGTGCTGGGCTTCCTTCTCCTCCTGTACATTGTTGCCCGCCTTCCCCAGCCCCATTTCTGCGTCTCCAGTGTGGCCCTGGGCTTCCCCAGACGGTAAGCTTCCTGTCCACTTTGTGTCAAATGTGAATTTTATGTATGCACGTAGAGGCAGATTTTATATGCATGTTCACCTCCTGCTGGTCAGTTTGTCACACTGTGGTGGCTTGTATGTTGTTGTGATGCTGGAAGCTACGCCACTGGAATTTCAAATACCAGCAGGGTCACCCATAGTGGACAGGTTTCAGCAGAGCTTCCAGACTAAGACAGACTAGGAAGAAAGGCCTGGTAATCTACTTTTGAAAATTAGCCAATGAAAACCCTATGGATCACAATAGAAAACTGTCTGATGTAGTGCTGGAAAGTGAGCCTGCAGGTTAGAAGGCTGCAGCAGTGGACTCGTGCGCAGTGACTGTGCAGATGGCACAGGAGCAGACGCCGTTTCACTGTGTTGTACGAGGTGGCCGTGAGTGAGAGCCGACCCCACAACACGAACAAGGGCGTGTACGTGTATCTATGGAGAGAGGTGCACCATCTTGAAAGACAAGAGCTACCTAACTTGAGACACTCGCAGCCAAGAACGCAATTCCTTTCGTGGGACCCCTGGGAGGGAGGAGGAGGAGGGAGGAGGAGGACAGGGACGGGCCTGGGAGCCCCAGGAGCAGATGGGCAGTGTTTGGTCTGCAGCAGGCAGGGGTGTCACAAGCCAGAGGACCTTGTCCCACCTGGCTGAGGGTTGAGGGATTGCGTGCCAGAGGGACGTCCACCAGCTGAGGGGCCGTGTGGCAGAGGGTGGCAGCTGCTGTTTCCCCTGCTCATGTAAAGGGTCGAGGACAGCAAATTGCTGAGGTGAGAGGCCCAGGCCCTCCAGGTCGCCTGGTGTCGCTTGTTTGGGGTCTGGGTTTTGACGCACTTGGGGCCATCCCAGCCTCAGGGATTGGAAACAGAAGACCTGGCAGTGGAACCTTTGAGAAGGGCTGTGATGGGGCTGCTGACAGGTTGAGGACACCAATGGGACAATGATGGGCCCACCTGTCTGTCCACAAGTCCTCGTCACTTGGAGCCCGGCCTCCGGTAAGTGGTTTCCTCCTTGCCGTCTACCAGCTAGCCGGCCAGGCCTGCATCCCTTTCCCTGCTGACCTGGCCCCTGGCCACGCCCGCTCCTTACCCTCCAGCCCCCACGTCCTTTGTACCCAAGCTCCATGGCACCAAGCCTTCCCAAGCAGTGCCGTCCCTCTAGGAGGGCCCACCTCAGCCCCCCACGTGGGGCAGAGTCCCCTGGGGTGGAGTGGTGGGCGGAGCCATGGCCCCTAAAAGATCCCCAGGTCCTCCCTGGAACCAGGGCACATGGCCCCTTACCTGGCAGGTGTGGTTAACCATTCTCAGACAGGGAGATTGTGCTGGAGTATCCAGGTGGACCCCAAGTGCAATGGCAAGTGTCCTTACAAGGGACAGAAGACACAGGGAAGGTGACATGATGGAAGAGACAAGAGCTTGGAGTAATGTGGCCCCACGCCCAGGAACACCTGGGGCCGCCAGAAGCTGAACAAGACAAGGACAACCCTCCCCTAGAGCCTCGATGGGGAGCATAGCCCTGCTGACACCTTGCTTTGGACTTCTGGCCTCCAGAACTGCCAAAGAAGACATCTGTGGTTTTCTAAGCCACCGGGTTTGCAGCCCTTTGTTAGGGCAGCCCCAGGACGCCATTACAATAGGAAGGTGGAGAATTCCAAAGACAATGGTGCAAGTCACCTGGGCTGGGCTGCCTCCAGAAGGTTCCGAGGCCTCACCTACAACTCAGGTGGGCCTCACCAACCCCACCGCCCCGCAGCGCTGCCTCATACGTGCTCCCCATCCGGAGTCCCCCTACTTCTCCAGGCTGTCTGCAGCCCCTCACGCTGGCAAACTGCAAGGTGGGAGTCTGGGGAGTTGGGGGTGGGTGAGAGAGGGTCGGGGGCCCAGGGCAGCTGGGTCTCCACTGGAAACATGCAGCCCCGCAGGCCCCACCCTCTGATGCACACCTGTGCACACCTGCGCACACGCGTGTCCCCGCCCTTGGCCTGGAGCCCGGCTGTGGGAGGAGCTCACATGTAAAGGGCAGCGCCTCTGCCCCGGTGGGGAGACGGAGCTGACCTGTCAGGTGCTGTTTTCACAGACACGTGCCCTCCCCCCGCGGGCACTGGCACAGGGCTGCTGTTCTTTGACCCCAAGGAGAGACCACGGGCACGTCCCCACGGTCACGGCTCCTCAGCCTTTAAAGCTCGGTGGCAGCGGTCCCCATGGGACGCCTGGCTGGGCTGCTCTCCACGGGCCCCCCTGTGAGTTCACTTCTCCTCTCTGAGGGCAGCAAAAGGAGAACGCATAGCAGTCCACGTTCTCGGCCGACTCCATCGTCTGGGAGCTGTGTCTCAGGTGAGAAGGGCGTCTCAGCTGAGAGAGGGGGGTGTCTCAGGTGAGAGGGTCTGGTGCCCAAAGGCAGCGGGGCCAGTGTGTGCCCACTGCCAGGCTGTGGGGGCGAGCACCAGTGGAGGGGCAGAGCCGGGGGCCCCTCAGGCGGGCATCCTCGCAGGGGTGACAAAACCCAGGGTGCCGATTTGGTGCTGGGTGTGTCACTGGCCGCTCTGGAAGGCATGGAGAAGGGTGTGGGGGTCCCCGAGCCTGCATTCCAGCACAGCGCACGGAGGCAGGGTCGACTTAACCTTGGGCTCAACCAGCCTCTGCCAAGCTGGCCGCAGGGTGAGGCGGTGCGGGCCGTGTCTCTAGTCCCCCCGTGTCCCCGCTGCCCCGGCACTGTGACCCACAGGGGACCCCTACCCCCTGCAGGATGAGGGCCCCCAGGCTGATGGGGACACTACTCACCGTGGCCAGTGTGTTACGGGCGGCTCTGTCCCTGAGGATAGCCGCCTTCAACATCCAGAGCTTTGGGGAGACCAAGATGTCCAATGCTACCATCTCCCAGTACATTGTTCAGGTGAGCCAGGTCGGCTGGCCTCGGGGGGCTGGTGGGGCCCTGGGTCTGCCTGGGCCGGTAGTGGGGCTGTGGGCAGGTCACAGGGAGCCAGACTCAGACGGGGGACACCGCTGGACGTCTCGTCTCAGTCCCCATCAGTCGGGGCTGTGGCTGCCGCAGGATTCTTTCTCTTTGCATGGGTGCAGTGGCTGGTGGCCCTCCTGTGCAGTGAAGTGCCTCCCCCTCCAGATCCTGAGTCGCTACGACATCGCCCTGGTGCAAGAGGTCAGGGACAGCCACCTGACAGCCGTGGGCAAGCTGCTGGATGACCTCAACCAGTGAGTGACACGGCGGGCCGGAGGGGCTCCCCCGGGGATGGGGAGGGGGGCACCCTGGGGGCCCTGGCCAGGACTGGTCTTCCCTCCAGGAAGGCACCAGACACCTTCCATTTTGTGGTGAGCGAGCCGCTGGGGCGGAACAGCTACAAGGAGCGTTACCTCTTCCTGTACAGGTGAGTGACGGACAGACAGACCCACCCGTCTGCCCCCTCCCGGGGGACCCGCCGGAAGGCCGGGGGTGGTTGGGAGACCCCTGTGGTGTGGGGGCTACACTGTCCTTCAGGGACAGGAACCAGGGGCCCCAAGCACGCCCCACCCACCCCCGGGGGCAGTGGGGGCTGGGGGACGAGGTTCTGAGGGGCCATGCTGTGGCCCGCCCCCCACCTACACGGGGAGCGGCTGTCTCCTGGAGAGATGTGGCCTCAGGTTAACCGTGCGGCCCCGCAGGCCTGACCAGGTGTCCGTGCTGGGCAGCTACTACTATGAGGACGGCTGTGAGCCCTGCGGGAACGACACCTTCGCGCGGGAGCCGGCCATCGTCAGCTTCTCCTCGCCCTTCGCGCGTGAGCATCCCCGCCCCTCCATCCCCGCCCCTCCCCGCAGCCCTGCTTGTCCGTAGACGTGACCTGGGAGCATGTCCACGCCCCGGGGTCTGTCTGTCCATCCTTTGGGCCAGGCCAGGCCGCTGCCCCTTCACTGTGTGCTCTCAATGTGACTGTGGTCTACCCTCAGAGGTCAGAGAGTTTGCCGTCATCCCCTTGCACGCAGCCCCGCTGGACGCGGTGGCCGAGATCGATGCTCTCTACGACGTCTACCTGGATGTGCGGAAGAAGTGGGGCATGGAGGTGTGTCCCGCCCGGGTGGCCCCGGCTTGCTCCCTGGGCTGACAGGTCCCAGACTGACAGGCCGCTGCTTCCACAGGACATCATGCTGTTGGGTGACTTCAATGCCGGCTGCAGCTACGTGAGTCCCTCGGACTGGGCATCCATCCGCCTGCGTATGAGCCCCGCCTTCCACTGGCTGATCCCCGACACCGCGGACACCACCGTGAAGTCCACGCACTGCCCCTACGACCGGTGAGCGGTCCCCGCGAGCAGCCGGGGCTCCCAGCTCCAGCCCTCTAAATGCTTCACTTGACCTTTTTTTAAACTGTGGTGAAAACATGCACAACAGAGACATGACAGAACACGCCCGCATCGCGGTGACGTCTGCGCGTGTCGTTCACTGACACTGATCACATTCGTTCACTGACACTGATCACATCTTTCGGGTTGTGCACGATCTCACTGTTCCGCCACCGTGAACAGCGACTCGGTGCCCCCTAAGCCAGCACTCACCCATTCCCTCTCCCCCCACCCCTGGAAACCACTAAGCTTTGGTTTCTGTATATTTGTTTATATGGTATTTGTCCTTTTGGACCGATTTATTTCACTCAGCCTGATGTTTTCAAGGTTCATCCACGTGGCAGGCATCAAGACTCATCTCTCTTCGTGGCGGAGTCGTAGTCCATTGTGTTGATACTCCCTCCACGTTTAGCTTATCCAGTCCTCTGCTGATGGACGTTTCAGTTGTTTCTACCTTTTGGCTATTGTGTAAAGTGCTGCACGCTTCTGTTTGCGTTTCTGCCTTCACCTCTTCTGGGTATATACCTAGCGTGGGGTTGTAGGTCATCTGGAAGTTCCGTGGTCAGCTTTTTGAGGAACCACCTGTTTTCTACAGTGGCTGTACCATTTACATTCCCACCAGCGATGGGTGGGGGGGATTCCTGTTTTCTTCTCCACAACCTTGCCAACACCTGCTGTTTTCTGTTTTGATCATTGCCATTCTAATGGAGATGAGGTGGTATCATCTCAGGGTGGTTTTGCTCTGCATCTCTGGTGGCTAAAATGTTGATTATTCATGTGCTCGTTGGTCATCTGACTAATGCTCGGTGAAATGTCTGTTTAAGTCCTCTGCCCCTTTTTTATTGGGTTGTAGAAGTTTTTTTTGTATATTATTTTGGATGTTAGAATCTTATTGGGTATGTAGTTCCTGAAAATTTTCTCCTAACCTGTAGGTTACTTTTACGAAAGGACTTTATCAAAAAAGTAAAAAGACAATGTTATAAAGTTCGCTTTTCTGTTGTAATATCTGATAATCCATTGCTCAAAACTAAGCCCAGAGGCCCATCAGGCATACCCCTGTATTCTAAGAATTTTATGGTTTTGGTTTTCATATTTTGGTCCTTGTTCTGTTGTGAATTGGGCTTTGTGTATGCTGTGAGGCATGGATCCTGGTTCATTCTCCTGCATGTGGAATCCAGTCTTCCCAGCTCCATTTATTGAAGAGACTCTTCTTCTCCATTGAATGGACTTAGCACCCTTGTTGAAAATCAGTGGACCACGATGTATGGATTTATTTCCGGACTCAGTTCTGTTCCCTCGGTCTATATGTTACCATGCCAGGCTGTTTTTAATTATTGTGGTTTTATAGTATGTATTGAAATTGGGAAGTGTGAATCCCCCTGCTTGATTCTTCTTGTTCCAAGATTTCTTCAGTAGCTATTGGAGGTCCCCCTTGCCCTTTAATACAGATTTGAGGATTGGCTTTTGAAAAGAAAGCTGTTGTAATTTTGATGGTGACCTGCACTGCATTTATAGATTGCTTCAGGTAGTACTGACATCTTCATTATATCGTGCTTCCCATCTGCAAACATGGAACGTCCTTCCACTCCTTTAGGTATTCTTTAATTTCTTCTAGTAATTTTTAGTTTCTTGTGTTTCACCTTCCTGGTTAAATTTATTTTTAGGTATTTTATCATTACAATAGCACCTGAAAAGAACGTTGTCTTCCTTGAAATTCCTCTTCCATTGGCTCACTGCTGATTTCCTGAGGCCTTTGGACAAGCTGTACCAGATTCACTGATGAAATGGCATAACATTTCTTAATTTTTAGAAAAGCACGTTTAGGAAGAAAAGATGAAGCAGAAACTCATCCTGATGAGATGCTCGTCCTGCTGCTCTGACGAGCACTTGGGTTTTAGGACCCCCCCCACCCAACCCCAAAGCTGTGGCAGGTTCACGTCCCCTGCGGGGAGGAGGCCGTCTGGCTCCGCTTGCTGTGGTGAGGTGAGGTCCGAAGGACCCTCCTCCCTCAAGGGGGCAAGACAGGTGCCCGTTCACTAGCTGAGATGAGCTCAGGGAGGGACACGCTGGGATTACCAGTTTCAGTCATGGAGCCAGGACCGCGAGGTGACTAGTGTCTGTCCTGCTGCCTTGCAGGATCGTGGTTGCGGGAACATCCCTCCAAGATGCCATTGTCCCCAACTCGGCCATGCCCTTTGACTTCCAAGCTGCGTATGGACTGAGCAACAAGATGGTACGTTTTCTGCCTTTCAGTTCTCACTCCTGGGGGCCTGGGACACGACGTGCAGGGTGGTGTGACCCCCACCCCTGGCCCCCAGGATCACTGACTGGGGAGAAAGGCAGCCTCCCCTCCCCATCCTGGCCTGCTCTGGGGTAGTGAGACCTGGAAAGGAGGTGGCGGCGCGTCTCAACTCTGACTGCACGTTTCCCCAGGCTGAAGCCATCAGTGACCACTACCCTGTGGAGGTGGCGCTGAAGTGAGTGAGCCTGATGTGGCGGCGCCCGACCTGCAACCTCCCTTCTCCAGGGGAGTGTGGATACTGGTACAGAGATGTCACTGCCACCCCTGCCTCTCAGAGCCTGGACAAAAGCATGATCTTTAGATTGACAAATACCTTTAATTAATAGAGGTAAACCAACGCAAGGTGGTGGTCTCAGCTCTTTGTCTGGCCCTCCTTATGTCCTGGTGACAGCACACACAGTCCCACTGTCCCCTCAGTGCTTCTCCAGGGCCTTGGTGAGGAGCTTGTTCAGGTGGCCCACCATGGGTCTGGGGTCGTCCACAAGCCCTGCCACTATCATGGCATTCTCGTAGATCTGGAGGACAGAAGACACCCGTGTTAGCCTGAGGACAGCTCAGTCCTCGTCCCAGCTCAGGGAAGCAGGGAAATGCAGGGAGGAGGAGGGAAACTGAGCTGCCGCAGGGGCCAGGCCTTCTCACCTGATCCACGAGCAGCTGGGCCAGCTCAGGCTCGCCTGCTCTCAGCTGACTGAGCTTCTTGATCAACGCGTGCCTGCAACACGGAAATCACCGTCAAGGTGGGGCTGGGCCCACCCAACAGCACAGGGGCCTCCAGTCATCCTTCTGAAAGCTGGGATTATTGGAGCCTTCAGACACACGACAGAGCTGTCCAGGATGAGGGACAGGGTGTACACAGGCCGGAAAGGAGGTAGGCGAGGTCGGTTACAGAGCTGTCACGCAGAAGACCCGGGAGCCTCTATGTCGGGAGACGCAGTGAGATGGCTGAGACTCACGGCCAGAGCCAACGCGCTGCCATCAGTTCCGACTCGTAAGGACCCTGCAGGACAGAGCAGAACTGCTGACCTTGTGGTTAGCAGCTGAGCTCTTAAAGGGACCAAAAAGAAGAGATTAAAGTATGAAAAGACCACAGATAAAGCGGAAACTTTCCCTGCGTTAATCCATGAATTTAATAATGATGCTTTATACTAACAGGTTAAAAGCTGATACAAAAACTCACGTAAACACAGAAGAACAGCCAGGAAAAGGTGGGCGGGGGAGTCTCAGGTGAAAAGGCAAAGAGCTCAGTGCAGGAAAACACATAAACAGACCCCAATACTTGTGGATTTGGCACAGGACAGAGACGGCACCTCACATAAGAGCGAAGAAAAGTGATTACTCAGTCGACCGGGTTGGGATAACTCATCAGTCATCCAGCAAGCAGTTCAGCTGGCTCCTACTTTACTCCTTAAACCAAATAAATTCCACCTGGATCAAAATTCAGTTGTAGAGAATAAAACCACGAAAGCTTAACACTAGGAGGAACCGTTTTACACCCTTAAAAGGGGAAACCTCTGCAAGCAAAACACAAACCCAGAAGCTAAAAAGGAGGGAGGACAAATGTAGACTACCTGAAACATTAAAATCTGTCTGCAAAGGACAAAACACCACAGTGTTTAACCTTACTCAACAATCAGGCACAGAGCCCCTGACGTCAGCGTGCTCCGTCACCCCATTCAGCAAAGGGAGGGCACCACCCTCCTATAACACAGCCATGCGAGCGCAGTGCCGCTGGAAAGGTGAATGGGAGGAACCTCCACTATAAACTATCCCGGTTCTTCTGAATTTCTGACCCAAGTGAATACATTGCCAGTTTTAAAAGCAGAGTAAATTTTAAAAATAAAGCGCCTGGGTAAAGGAAACTTCTGACCGGCTCTCATAATGCTGCCTCCTGGTGGTGGAGCTTGTCGGTGCGTGCAGCCACGCGCTAACCTGTGCGGTCCTTCCAGAAAGTGGCTGACTTTCTGCATTGCTGGCCATAAGCCAATGAGACTCTTCCCCGGTAATCCACGTGGCCACAGAGACGGGTAAAGGCACTCCCCAGAGGGAATCAACGACATCCACATAAAACACAGGAGAACACTTTTACAATAAGAGTCACAAATGAAACGATCAGACATGAACTATTTAAAAAACAAACCAAAGTACCATAAATAGGAGAAAAAATAGGAGAAAAGCAAACACACTGAGTAGACTGCAGGGATTGTGGCAGGCAGTGAGGCTACAGGAGGCTTTTAAGTTTTTCATAATTGATGTAACTTAGATTTTGAATGCAGCAATTATTTTTTAAACAATCTCCAAAGGAAACCTCACTTCATACACAATAGCAAATAACAAATGAAATGTTAAAATACCCGTCTAGTAAGACACACCAAAAAATAACTCCAGAGAATGCACAGGTACTCTCCAGAGAGCGCCGCCTGCCAAAAGATACTAAATAATCACAGATGGAAACTGATATCGTACAGATGTCAATTCTCTCAAAACTGATACAATCTCCAGCAGAACCCCAATGTTGTGTGTGTAAAAGTTTATATAAAAGTAAGGACCAAGGGTAGCCAAGACATCCTTGAAGAAAATTAAGGGGAAAACTGGCTTTACCAAATAGACCCAAAGAAACCAAACGATTCTGACTTGCGGCGACCCCACGTGTTACAGACAGAACTGCTCCAAAGGGTTTTCTAGGCTGTGATCTTTACAGAAGCAGATCGCCTGGTCTTTCTTCCATGAGCCACTGAGTGGGTCTGAGACACCAACCCTGAGTTAGTATAACGGTGGGCCACCCAGGGTCCTGGTTTACCACACAGACTCACGGAAATGCCAGGTGGTGCAGTCCTGGACGAGGACAGACCAGAGCCCAGGACCAGAGGGGACAGCTGGGATTCACACGGAGTAACTGGTGATTACAGCTGGGTTAAAAGCCCGTAGGAAAGGACCCAGAGCTTTTAGACGGTAACATGGGAGAATATATCCACGGCTCCACGGGTGGGGAAAGACTTCTTAAAACCCCGAAATGCCATCTAACAAAGATTTACGATTTGATTACACTAAAATTAAGACTTTCTACCCATCAAAAGGGAGCCCTGGTGGCACAGTGGTTAAGAGCTTGGCTGCTAACCACAAGGTCAGCAGTTGCAGATCCGCCAGCTGCTCCTTGGAAACCCTATGGGGCAGTTCTGCTTTCCCACAGGGTCACTGTGACTCAGAATCGACTCAACAGTAACGGGTTTGGTTTTTATTTTTAAAACCATCAAAAGAGCTTAAAGCAGGTGAAAAGGCAGTGTGGGAAAAGAGATTTGCAACCGATAAAGCACAAAGTCTACAAATGAATAAAAAGAGAAAGGAAAGCAGAGAAGTCCTGGAAAAAGTGCCCCGCCTCGCTTAGTACCGGGGGCTCGAGGAGTCACACTTGGGGGGAGGGGGCGGGCACACCAGGCTGGTCCCAGTGAAGAGACACGCCAGTTTCCCCAGGGGACACACACCAGACACAGACCACGAGGCTCCTGGCAGCCTCCCTCCCAGGAGCCCCAACCTCCCCAAGCGGCCATCAGGGGAGAACAGGTGAATCTGTGTGGCTGTTTAGCTGTGAAAACGAACGAACCACAGCCGCCCGCAGCGCAGACGGGGTCTCAACACAGAGAAAAGCGAGACTTCAGAACACACACGGGCTCCACCCGCAACTCAGAATCGGGCTAAGGTGATCCTGCTGCTTGAGGACGCGGCACAGACGGCAAAACGACACAAAGCAAAGCAACGACTCCAACCGTCAGCCCACGGTTACCTCGCAGAGAGGGGCACCTGGGGGGCCATGATGTTCAGCTTCGTCAACTTCACGTGGATACAGTCTAAAGTTACTACAGTTCCACCACTACGTGGGAATTCCCTTTATAATTATTCATCAGACTGTACAGAGATTTCATACACGTTCCTTCTGTGTTAAACATCATTATGAAAGAAGAGAACAGTTCCCGTGAATTTCCGGGCAGCTGAGAAATGAAAATGCCATTTCCACACGAGAGCCCAGCGCTCACCTGGGGTTGATCTCCAGCGTGGGCTGGAGGATCTGGGCGCGTTCCTCATGGGTCTTGGCCAGCTGCTGCATGCGCAGGAAGTGCCGGGCGGCCCCCATCTCCAGCACCGTGATCATGGCCGGGTGGGTGTCAAGTCGGAGGGTCACCTGCAGCAAGGCCAAGGGCTTGGTGAGGGAGGTTGGGGGGGGAGGGTCTCAGCCAGGTGTGACACTCCCCCCAGATGCCACAGGAGAGGCAGGGTATCTCCGGGGATCGGGAGGGGGCTGGCCCGATGCCCCACGTGACATTACTGTAACAGCATTCCGTCTGTGCACTGTTAGGGACTGAACTGTGTCCCCTAAACGTATGTGCTGTGTATCCCAACCTCTATACCCGGGGATGTAACCCCGTTTGAAAACAGGATTTTCTTTATGCTCACAAGGCTGTATCAGTGTAGGGCGTGTTTTAAGCCAGTCGCTCTATGAGCTGTAAGAGACCAGGCACAGAAGCAGAGCTGGGAAAGACGGACCCGCCCCATGAACATCACCAGCAACAGAAGCTGAAAGACGAGGGCCTTCCCCCAGAGCCAATGGAGCTTTCCCCTAAAGCCTGTGCTCTGAATTTGGACTTCTAGCCTCCCAAGTTAGTCCAGAAATACCTGAATAAATTCCTGTGTGTCAAAGCCACCCACTTGTGGTGTTTCTGTTACAGCAGCACTAGGAGACCAAGACGGGCTCCTTCCCCAGAGTCGAACCAGTTTGTCAGTGACCATCAAAGCTCTCTGTCCCCTGGTGTTACTGTCACCTCTCCTGGCCCATGACTAAGCCCTACACCTCCTCTCTGCGGACTCCAAGGACCGGTGCCCACGTCCTCTGACCCACCCTGGCCCCGGGCGCCCCGCTCCCCCACCGGCCTGAGACCCCTGCCACCACTTGTGCCGAGGCCTCCCGGGGCCCTGTCTTCTGGGGCACCTCTTCCCATGAGGCAGCCAGGGCCGCCCCCCGTGAGCAGCCTCCCCTCTCTCTGCTCACCCACAGGCCCTGAGTCTCCTGACCCCCAGTGGCAGAGGGGGCCCGGGAACCGGCCGCCTGCAGCCTGGGGTGGTGGTGCCGAGTCTGACTGGACTCTTCCGCTTGACTGCCCGGCTGTGGGAGCGCATCCTGCAATGGGGGTGATGATCTCACCCCCCTTGTAGGTAATGATCTGAGGTTTCGCTGAGCTGTGATGTGTATTTACTAACACACGCTCTGGAAAAGCGCTAAGTAACAAAACCCCATCTGCAGGTGTGGTTCTTGACGCTGCTGCCAGCAACTTCTGCTCCTCGGCTCCCAATGTCCCACCCTGCAGCCTCCGGGGGCCGCACCGCCATCCCCTGTGCACTCAAGTCCGTCTTCCTCTGCCGTCACCCCACCCGCACACCTGCCTCTCTCCTGGGCCACTCCTGGACGTGGCCCTTCGCTGGATGCTCGCCCTCAGCTCTGCTGCTGGGCGGGCCCCGGCTCTCTGCTGCTGGACCGGCCAGGCTTTAGCTCTGCAGCACCCATAACCCCATCAGCACCCAAGCAGAAGCGCCGCGTCTGGGATCTAGGGCGGGATTTTCCTTCTCTCGAGTTTCCCATGTCCACAGCCACTGCAGCCCCCAGCAGCTCTGCACCCAGGACGGCCCTCTGCCTCCACCAGGCCCCGGGCCCTTGTCTGCTCTGCCTCTAACGTTCAGCAAAGTGGAAGGAACGGGGGAGGCAGAGTCCGCCCTCCCACTTCAGCAACCCGCCGGGGTAGCCATGCCACGTGCGTGTGCTCACGAGCAGCAGCGTGTTTCCCGCACAGCACGCCGACGGACTCGGGCTCGGGGGCCTCACCTTCACATTGGTGACGCGTGACCCCAGCGCGTTTCTCATCCAGGCCATCAGGTCCTCAGTCTCCTTCTCTGACAGACGCCCGTCAGCTACAGAGGAGCAGTGAGTGTCAGCCTGGACGCCGCCACCCACGAGCCCGCCCCACGGCCACATGATCACAGTAACTATGGGGCCTGAAGCGCCTATGCCCTGATGCAAAGCCTCCTCCTGCCTCTCTGACCACAGTCCTCCACCCACCAAAAAAATCCAAACCCATTGCCATCAAGTTGATTCCAATTCATAGCAACCCTGCAGAACAGAGCAGAACTGCCCCACAGGGTTTCCAAAGAGCAGCTGGTGGATTTGAACTGCCGACCTTTTGGTTAGCAGCCAAGCTCTTAACCCCTGTGCCACCAGGGGTCCGAAAAAAAAAAAAAAACACAAAACCACCGAAAACGCTTTCATCTAAACTGAACCAGATCAAAGCAGAACCTCAAAGACACTCCTGGCTGCCTGCGGCCCACGTACGGCTGTAAGAAGACAATCTGTGATTCTCTGAGGAAGTTTGGGCAATTTGGGAAGCCACGCAGTAAGGGCCATGGAGAGAACCCAGGGGTCTAGACAGGGAAGTGTTTTCCATGAACCATGAAGACGTTCCCAAACAACTGCTTGTCTCTTACCAGTCGGGGGCCCCAAATGTCACCGGGACAACCTAAGTGTGCCGTGCTGGTCAGAGGCACACACCGCAGGATCAGTCTGCCCCCACACCACCCCCAGGGCGGCTGCGGTGGTCCTGGGTCCCGGGCAGCAGGCAGGGTCTAGAGGAGGGAAGGACACCAACCTGGGGACCCGTCCTCAAACTTCTCCTCCTTGTAGTGATCGACAACAATGTCTGTCTCCACGGAGATCAGCTTCTTCTTGTCGAACTCACGCAGGTGGAGCAGCGTGAGCTCATCAAACTGCTCGTAGCAGAAGAGAACCTGGGAATGTCCGCAAGGGCAAGGTTGGGCCCGGCCTGGCCGGAGTGCCCTGTGACGGGACGGAGGGAGCCCCGTGGGAGGGAGGGGATGGAGGCCGAGGCTCGGCCCTGCACCCTGGGGAGCCCCGCGCTGACACTGGGTTCCCGGACGGACCACACTGGCTGACCAGATGGCTTGAGGGCGACGCTGGCTGTGTCTTAGCATAGTCACCCCAACTCTACTATAAAGAAATTCACAACCCACCTCCGAGTGAGACCCCAGTGAGACCTCAGGCCAGGACCTCCGTGCCTGCGGACTCACTGCTGGTGGCCTGTGGCATGGCACCTTCAGCCACCTTCCGCTGAGTGCCAGAATAAGAGATTCAGGATCCTCCCCTCAGAGGCCCATCCTCTGCTGGGTCCTCTGCATGCTCCAGGGGCTAAGACGATGTGGCAGCCCCACCCGGGGAGCCCACCTACCTCCATGTTTTTCTGCTTCATGGCCTCGTAGTAGGGCGAGTGCTCAGCCAGGTGCCGGCTGGGCGCGCACAGGTAATAGATGTTGCGGGTGCCGGCCTTCATGCGGTTGGCGTAGTCCATGAGGCTGGTCAGCTGCCCAGCGGGCAGGGCCGAGGACTCGTAGCGCAGCAGCTTTGCTATGTCCTCCTGCAGACAGACAGACAGCCACACTGGGAAAGCCGTCCCTCGGGTGCTAGGCTGGACTCATACTCTGCCGCAGAGGCAGCGGCCCTGGAAGCCAGGAACGCATCTGTGTGGGTCTGGGCAGCTGACCGGGGATGGCCCGACTGGCCCCGGGAGCCGTGGTGGACGCCCAGGTGGTGTCACGACAGGCCATGCACTGCCCGGTGGGTCCCAGAAGTATGAGGAGAGGCCTCCCAGTGAGGGGCTTTCTGGCCAAGCTGCGCATCACAGTCCCGGGAGAGACAGGCCCTGTCTGAGGCAGCCTGCTCCTGGACCCAGCACCTTCCTGCCTCCTGCTGACGGAGCCCTGCCCCTGGGCACGTGGGCACTCCATGTCTCTCATTCTTTTTAACCAATGCCCCCCCAGCGTTCATACATGTTCATTTCTGGGCCCCACCAGGCAAAAGGCTGTGGTTAAGCTTTATCCTGCTGACAGCATCACCAGAGAGAGTGGTGCCCCTTCTCCGACTGTCCTCTGATAAAAGGGTTGCCCACTCCCTGCAGGAGCGGAACACCCGCCGCCCACCACATGCAGCACTGCCGTGGAGCCAGGCCGGTGGCACCTCGCCCTCTGCTCCAAGAACTGGACACGCCTCACCACAGGCCTCCGCGTCCGTCCCAAACCAGCCACCGCACCGATTGTGACCCACAGTGACCGCACAGGACAGAGCAGAACCGCCCCGTCAGGTCTCCTGGGCTGTACTCTTTACGGAAGCAGACGACCCCATCTCTCTCCTGCAGAGCAGCTGGTAGGTTCAAACTGCCCACCTTTCAGCTAGCGGCGAGCGCTAACCACTGCAGCTCTAGAACTCTTTGTGATAGTAATTACACTACTTAAATTTTTAAGACAATGAAAGTGAGTGCAAAAAGGAACAGTTATCAGTGTTTCTAGGTTAACAATATTGAATATTTTGGAAAGGTTCAATTAAAACAAGTCACTGAACAGTGGTCCTGGAGTTTTGGAGACAAACCCATGTATCTGAGAGGTACCCTGAGATTTCTGGATGTACAGCAAGCTCTGGACAGTGATCTGGAGCCCTGGAAAAGCCCACTTTGCAGATGAAGTCAGTGATGTACGGCTGGAGTCAGAACCAGAGACCCTCGGCCGTACAGAACAAGAGTTCTGTAACTTAAAAACGTTCATGAAAACGAATACCGCCTCTGCCTGTAAACGTGGAGGAAGACAAGGAGTTGTAAGCAGACACGGTGTGGTTAAGCCTCACTTCTCCCAAAGCCAGAGAGAATGTAAGAAAGGAAAGACTGAAATCCCAGAGCCCCTGTGGTTTTCCTGAGCCTGAGGCCCCTGCAGTGTGGCTGGTCCGAGAGGAGACAACGCGTGTCTGCATCCTTCCAGCTTTGGGCACTCGGGATTGGAGGGTGACGAGGTCCGCCATGCAGTTAGAGCATGGTGCCTGCAGAGCAGTGGGACACGCAGAGTCCAGACGCCCCACCGGCCAAACCTATGGAGCAGTGCCCAGGGTGATGACTGCCCTGTCCTCACATCCAGCCTCCCCCACGGCCCTGGGCCATGCAGCCAGAAAGGCCCGGAAGGCCCAGCCCTACCTTGACCTCCTGCTCAGTGGTGGTCACAATGCCCTCCCTCATGAACAAGCCATAGTCTTCAAAGAACCTGGCGTACTTCTCAGGGTCTCTCTTACTCTGGTCCACGAAGAACTTTATCAGCCTCTGCTGCAAAACGTCCCGGAGTTTCCTGCAGAACAAAAACGCAGTTAACATCAGCAGGCGATTCTACGGGACAGATGGCGGGAGCACGTGACAAAACCTGCAGCCTCTCTAACAGAGGGGCGGGTGGCAACAACAGCATGCCAATTGTGCTGAACTCAAAAAGGTTTCAAACCCAGAGGAGGAGGTCAGCAGAGTGAAGTGCGCCCCCCACAGGCAGGGACATCAATGACACCCCCGCCTGGGGGCCGTCAGCCACAGTATCACAAGCCTTGAAAGCGCCCACATCCTCCAGCGGCAGGAACTGCACCTCAGGAGGGGGTCATGGCCACAGAGGCTCATGGCCAGGCTCTCAATGACCCCCAAACAGCCAGACTGTGAACGACCTGTGTGCTCCACAGGAGAGAACAGTATGAAAGGAACAGACGGCCCTTACACCCACAGCCTCGGACAATCCTTACTGAGAGCATATGCCTGTGCTGAAAGAAAAAACACAAAAATCCCAATGTGGAAAAATCGCCGTGCACATTTAGCTGCCCTGCACGCTCAATTTGCACACACACCGGCACACTAGAGTCTGGGACCTGTACTGATCACACCAGGATTTTCCAAAATTGGGATTCTGTGGGTCAGGACACTTCCTGCAGCATTACATAAAATTATGAGCAATTTTATTAGTGGGATTATGGGTATTTTTATGTTCTTCTTAATAACTGTCTTTCCTTCAAAAAAGTTAAACTGCCATGTATTTCCTTATAATCCAGAGCAGGAGACAATGATGTTTAAAATTCATCCAGCTTTCCGTCTTCCGCTCACCTGTCCCCAGTCAGTCAGTCCTTCAGCCCCAGGTGGACCAGAGCAAGGTGCGTGCCCACCTAAGTGGGCATTTATGAAGACCCCACAGCCAACAACAGCACACTCAATGGAGAGACTGCGCCCTTTCCCCCAAATCGGGAACAAGACAAGGATGCCCGCGCTTACCACTGCTATACAACGTTGTTACTGGGCGTTCTAGCCAGAGCAATCAGGCAAGAGAAAAAAATAAAAGACATCCAAATCGGGAAGGAAGAAATATCTCTATCAGCAGACAACATTATCCTTTACGTAGAAAATCCCAGAGTCCACAAGGAAACTCCTAGACCTAACTAACAGATTCAGCCAAGTGGCAGGAACAAGACCGACACATAAAAATCAATCTTTTCTAGACACTGGCAAGGAGCAAGCTGAAAAGGAAATCAAAACAAACCACCTGTCACGGATTAAACTGTGTCCCCCAAAAATGCATCAATTTGGCTAGCTATGGTTCCCAGTATTGTGCGGTTGCCCTCCATTTTGTGATTGCAATTTTATATTAAAGAGGATTAGGGTGAGACTGTAACACCACCCTAACCCAGGTCACATCCCTGGTCCAACGTAAAGGGAGTTTCCCTGGGGTGTGGCCTGCATCACATTTTATAAAAGGAAAGGGAAGCAAGTGGAAAGTTGGGGACCTCAAACCACCAAGAAAGCAGTGCTGGGAACAGAGCACGTCCTTTGGACCCGGGGCTCCTGTGCAGAGAAGCTCTTCGTCCAAAGGAAGATTGATGACAAGGACCTTCCTCCAAAGCTGACAGAGAAAGCTTTTCCTAGGAGTTGATGCCCTGAATTTGGACTTGCAGCCTACTAGACCGTGAGAAAATAAATTTCTCTTTGTTGAAGCCATCCACTCATAGTATTTCTGTTATAGGAGCTCTAGATGACTAAGACAACCCCATTTACAACAGCACCTAGAAGAATAAAATAACCTAGGAATAAATTTAACTAGCGAGGTGAACGTCTTGTATGCTGAAAACTACAAAACACACAGAAGAAATTAACCTAACACGTTTATTGCCATGCATTAATTCCGACTCACAGCAACCCTATAGGACAGGGTAGAACTGCATGGAGTTTCCAAGGCTGTAATGTTTACGGAAGCAGACTGCCACATTTCTCCCAAGGAGCGGCTGTTGGGTTCGAACCGCCAGCCTTCCAGTTAGTAGCCAAGCTCTTAACCACAAGCCCTAAATAAATGACCACCCCGGGATGTCTCAGTGTGTTGTACTGTGTTGTCTTCCGTGTTGCTGTGATGCGGGAAGCTATGCCACCAATATTTCACATACCAGCAGGGTCACCCATGGTGGACAGGTTTCAGGAGAGCTTCCAGACTAAGACAGATTACGAAGAGAGACCTGGCGATCCACTTACAAAAATTAGCCATGAAAACCCTATGAATCACAAGAGAATACTGTCCAGTATAAGTGCTGGAAAGTGAGCCCCCTATGTTGGAAGTTACTTAAAATACGCAGTGGCCGCAGCAATGCACTGGGGCGTACCAACGACTGTGAAGCTGGCTCGGGACCAGGCAACGTTTGTTCTGTTGTACACGGGGTTGCCACGAGTCAGAGATGACTCAGTGACAACTAACAGTAAGTAAATGGAAGGACATCCTGTGTTTATGGATTGGAAGACTTATTGCTAAGATGGCAATAAAAGCAATGCATGACTCTGAACTGGTCCCTTCACTATAAAGAACCTCATGGGGACAGATGAGGCCCTTGCACGGGTGTGAGGACTGGGTGGTGGTTGTAGGGTCTCAGTGCTGATTTCCCAACTTTGGTGGCTGTGCTGTAGCTATGAGAACACCCTTGCCTGCTGGAAACACCCTGACACACCGCGTAAGACAGGGTGCTGGGTCAACAACTCGCTCTCAGAGGGCTCAGGGAAGAATGTCTTTTGTACGGTACACCCCACTTTTCTGTCACGGAGGAACGCCGCTCGGCAGGCAGCTGTCCTCTCCCACATCAGCAGACAAGCCGCTGCCCCGAGTAATGAGAGGAGAGACGACTTTGCTCCTACCCCAGTGTGAGCACCTCACCACCCTCAGGGTGCAGCGAGTGAATGAAGGAACGCTAGCCCACACCAGCGACCTCATCTGGTGCTCCATTCAGGCAGCAGCAATCCACCAAGGGAGGAGGATCTGGGTGCGGAGCTCAGCGCCAGCCGGCGCGGAAGGCTCCGGCAGGCCCCTCGGCACGGAACGCTGTAGTCCACAAGCACTTCTGCTTTGCTTATCCCACACGCTAACTCTAGGACCTGCCCCGTTGAGGCTGCCCACCTGCTGCTGCACCCTAAAAGGTAAAGAGTGGTTACCACTAAGTTACTATTACAGGTGATTCCTGTGTCCGTCACTTAGCCGTTACTTTATCAGGAGGAAAAAAGCTAATAGGTTAAATTTTTAATGGGACTACTTAACAAGCCTAGAATTGGAGGTGGGGATGGATGGGAAATACAGATGGAGCGCTCACACTGTTGCCACAGCAAGAGGCAATGCCCCATCAGGGGCCGTCAGTGCCCATCCGAGGCGTGACTGAGGTGGCCTAACCCAGGCTGGCCCTGGAGCCTCCCCCGTTTTTAGACTCCAGCCACACAAGTGGCCGGCCCTTCCCAGGTTGCTCTGGTCACAGATTAAGCGGCTCAAGACGTATGTGCTCCCGCTGGCCCTGCCTCCTCATGGGTCCCGGCCTCCTGAGACACAGCCTCACCAACCTTCTGCCGGGGCCTCGCTTACCGGATGAGCGCGCTCTCCTGGAGGAGCTCCCGGCTGAGGTTCAGGGGGATGTCCTCGCTGTCCACCACACCTAGTGAGACACGGAGTGTCAGGTGCTCTGGGCCCGGCCTGCAACCACCCGACCAGCTCCTCCCGTTCTGACTGGGCCTTCGCCCTGTGGGCCAGGCTGTCAAAGCAGACCAGGTGTGGGTGCAAGGCAAGCAGGAAGGACAAGCGGGGAGAGGGGTCTCAGAGGGGACAACATCTCCTGAGACTCCGCTAAGGCCTGCTGCACCCTGGTCTGTGCAGACAGCCCGCTAGGTGAAGATGACACACGGGAAGACCAGCCACAGGCAGCACGACTTTGCCAGGCAGCCGCCTCTCAGGTTCCAGGATCCGTTTGACCCTGAGAGTGACTGCCTGGGTTCTGAGGGATTTTTTCTGTTTTTTTGACATCCTGGATTTTGTTAAAAACCACAAATACATCATGGATATTTTGCCCCTTTGTCTGCTAACACGAGACAAATGTTTAAATGTGAAATTCTTTAACAAAGTCCAAAAAAAAAAAAAAAAAAATGCTAAACCACTCGCCTGACCCGATTCGTCAGAAAGATGTGAGACCGAGATCAGAGAGGTGCTGTACCGCGCAGCCAGCAGGCCTGCACGCCGGCCCCAGCACAGCGCCCGCCCGTACCTCGGACAAAGCGCAGCCACTTGGGCAGAATGTCAGCAGCCTTGGTCTGGATGAGGACTTTGCGGCTGTAGAGGGCGACGCTGGAGCCCAGCTCCCGGCTCACGTCAAACATGGACGGCTTCTGTGGGCAAGGAGAGACCAGACTGTGGGGTAGAGCTCACCTCAACCACAGGACTGCAGAGAGCCAACCACCCCAGCTGTCCGGGGGCTGCGGTGGCCGTGTGACGCACTCAGATGGGGAGGGCATCCTGCAGGACCCCACAGGACAGCTCCGCAGGGCCTGGCTCTGCTTCTCCGGGCAGCTACAGCCTTCCCCACCCACCCAGCTCCATGGAGACAGAAGGGTACAGCTGAGCTAATCCTCGGCCCTGAGGCCTAACCTCGTTGCAGGTCAGGCGACTACAGCCTGCACACCAAATCCACCCGTGAGCTAACAACAGTGTTTACGTTTTTAAATGGGGGTGGGGGGCTGGGGAGGGAGGACAACCAAAAGGCTAATATTTCATGCCACGTGAAAACTATATGAAATTCAAATATCTGTGTCTATAAATAAAGTTTATTGGAGCACGGCCCCACTTGCTCACTTGCATTTTGTCTGCGCCTGCTGCCGTGATATCAGCAGAGACTGTATAGCCGCAAAGCTGAAAACGTACTCTCCCGCCCTATACAGAAAATGTCCCCAACCTCAGATCACTGTGCACACGATCACCTGGAGTCTCGTCAGAATTTAAATTCTGGCTCAGGAGGGCTGGCAGGGCCTGAGACTCTGCAATTCTGCCGAGCTCCGAGAGCCGGTCCAGGGACCACAGTGGGAAACAGTGTAGGATGCTAGAAGGCTTCCCGGCAAAGTTGGGACAGTCTGGTTCAGCCCTGAGCAGGCCTCCTGAGCGCAGGACTCGTCAGAGCCTCTGATGTGGGAAGTCTAAGGAGGGAGGACAGCCAGTGACACGCAGAGCAGCCCAAAGCCTCTGCTCGCCCACGGCACCTTTCCAGAGCGCCTCAAAGGACTAGGCTCCCGCCCCCGGAGGCCCTCAGACCACCCCGACCAGCAGCCCACCCACTACAGCTCCAGTGCCCAGGCGTGACACCGGTTAAACGTCCTCTCATGACCTGTGACTGCATATACTTAAAAAACGGCGGTCTCCCATCTATGGGCGTGTTTTATTATCCGCGTGTCCTGAATAGACACTGTTCAGGAGATTGCCTTCTCCCCAGACCGCCCCCCACGCGCCTCAAGTCTCTCCAGCTCCGCCCCCCACGCGCCTCAGTCTCTCCAGACCGGCCCCCACGCGCCTCAGTCTCTCCAGACCGGCCCCCACGCGCCTCAGTCTCTCCAGCTCCGCCCCCCGCCTCTCTCCAGCTCCGCCCCCACGTGCCTGTCTCTCCAGCTCCACCCCCCACGTGCCTGTCTCTCCAGCTCCGCCCCCACGTGCCTGTCTCTCCAGCTCCGCCCCCCACGTGCCTGTCTCTCCAGCTCCGCCCCCCACGCGCTGCACTTCCTCCCCGGGCTCCGCCCCCCACGTGCCTCACCGTCTCCGGCACGTAGAAGATGCTGCGGATGTTGAGGGGCGCGTCAGTCCTGTAGTGCAGTGTGTAGCGGGGCCTGTCGTAAGCCTGGGCGACGTAGCGGTAGAACTCCTCATGCTGCGACTCGCTCACATCCTTCGCGTCCACTGTCCAGATGGCCTGCGGTGGAGACCCGTGGGGACGCAAGCTCAATCGTCGCCTCCGACAGCCCCAAGTGCGTAGGGGTGCGGACATCTGCAGCCCTGCCGATGGCGTGGCCTGGTTCCTGGGAGCGACTCAGACGCCAGCAGTGCGTTCAGGCTAAGTCCCCTCACCCCTCTAGGTGCCCACTTCAGCTCCACAGCCCCCACCCCACCCCATGTGGGATTTCTTGGAATGGAGAGGCTGGGGAGGGAGAATAACGACACACAGAAAGGCTGTTGGGTACAGCACCCCGTCCTATCAGGATCCGAGCCATGCCTGCCGAGTGCTCAGCTGGGGTGCAGAGGGTGGGGACTGCTTGTCCTTCCCCCTTAGACTTCCCACATCAGAGGCTCTGACGAGTCCTGTCCTCAGGAGGCCTGCTCAGGGCTGAACCAGACTGCGCCAACTTTGCCGGGAAGCCTTCTAACATCCTACACTGTTTCCCACTGTGGTCCCTGGACCGGCTCTCGGAGCTCGGCAGAATTGTCCCTCCACAAGGAGCACCTCCATCCTTTGACACTGGAAGGAGCCCCCTCCGATCTCTGCCCCTTCCTCCATGGGGACCAGCACCCCTTTCATCTCTGCCCCACCCCCCTTCCACAGGAACCGGGCCCCCCCCTCATATCTGCCCCCTCCTCCAAGGAGACTGGGCTCCCCTCTCATCTCTGCCCCCTCCTCCATGGGGACCTGGCCCCCCATCTCATCTCTGCCCCCGTCGAATGTGGCCCTGCTCCCTCTTCCCTGGGGAGCGGGCAGCCCGGGTCTCACCTGCAGGGTGTTCATGCGCCTTCCATTGAGGTACACGGGGAAGCTGATGAAATTACTGTACTTTGTTATCACATCTGGAAGAGACAAATGAAAACAGCAAATGATGCTTTGAAGACAAACGTCTCTGAGGTCAGCTCCAGAGAGGAATACCACGTCCTGGAAATGCCCCTTCCCAGCTCCAGGGCAAGGATGCAGCCAGTGGTGGCCTCGCACAGGCACAGGGGCCAGGGCACGGCAGGGACAGAATCGAACGAGAACCCATATCCCTGAGGCCTCAACCGCACTGGCCACAGTGCCTCCAATCAGCCCCCAACAAGACACGGAGAGAAAACGCCTCACAAGGAGCCACCTCCCTAGCTGTCAGTGGGCCTGGGTGGCAGGCATGTCTGTCTGTGCCCCCAGAGCAGGCAGGGGTCGGGGCGGGCGATATTTTACAACAACTTATCTATAAATGCGTAAAAGCTAAAACCACAAGATTACAGAAAAAAAGTTCCACTAAAAGGGGGAGTAGAAACACCACCTGCCCTCTGCCAACGAGACTTGCCTTCTCATCCACCACGGAGAACCAGCAGGAATTCTGTTCTGCATCCACCTAACAGCCAAACACACAGTGCCCTGGCCCTTCCGCCCTGTGCTGCTCGATCGCTCCCTGCTCTGCCCACAGTGTCCCCTGCTCGCTGCCTCTGGAAGTGGAATCCAAGACAAGACGCCGCTCACCCACCCAGAGCCAACCTGGTGGGGTTCCCTCTCACCTCGAACCCGGGCCTCGCCGGCAAACTCTCTGCAGTCTGACTTGAGGTGGATGATTATCTTAGTCCCAGGTCTGACTCCGGAAGCCTCGGCGACTTGAAACACTCCAGAGCTGAGATACGTGGGGAAAAGCAAAGGCCAGCTGACGCGTTACTGCGCACAAACCCTCGGCAGCAAGCCTAGTCACTCTTCCTTGGGATTTCCAAAGGCAGAGCCCACACCCGCACACAGAAAGGGAAGCCAGAAGTGTGGCCACTTCTGGCCCTGGAGAGCCCCTCAGGTCACGAAACCTATGACAGGACAGTGACTGCCTCCACATGGGCCAGAGGGCCACTGCCTGCTCACCGGGAGAACCTCTAGAGCTTGGTGTTGCGCTAAAGCCGGCTAGGAGCATCAGAGGGATGCTGGGGTCACACGTCTCTGGATCAGCACCCAGCGCCCAGTGAGGGGACAGAGCAGATGCAGGAGGACCGGGGAGGGGACAGGGCAGACGCCAGAGGACTGGGCAAGGGACAGGGCAGATGCTGAAGGACCAGGGAGGGGACAGGGCAGATGCCAGAGGACCAGGCAGGGGACAGGGCAGACGCTGGAGGACCGGGGAGGGGACAGGGCAGATGGCGGAGGACCGGGGAGGGGACAGGCAGACGCCAGAGGCATTTAACTCTAGGCATTTCTAGATTTCTGGCAGAGACCGTGCACCTCCTGAGAAGAGCAGAAAAGCCACTTCAGAAGTTCAAGAGGTACACACCCATACAGGGCCCCATGGATACCAATTCACCAGGGCTTTGAACTGGTTCTTCCCAGTTCAGTCATGGCTGACACAGTAAAATCAGAACAGACCTGAATTTGTAAAATGGGGATGTGCCAGAACGATAACCGGATGGGAAAGATCACAGGTCAAAGCCCTGAACGGGAAACCGAGAAGCAGCATAGTGATGCGGGAGACTGGATTACTGTCGGGACTGTGCAGAGGGACACACATTCAAAGCAGCGCGGTCGGCTGCCATCTTTGACGTCTTTGAGCAGGACGCCACTGTTTCCAACTCTGCCAGTCAAGAGATTTGGTTGCTATTCAACACACACACTGCCCTTGTTTTCTAAGACAGAAATCAAGCAGGGTATCAAACCATGATTTTTCGCATCTGGCTGTTCTGGTACACCCGCGTTTTACAAATTCGGCAGTGACTGAGCTGTGAAGAACTGGTGTGAAGCCCTGGAAGTTTGCCCTTGGCATGGCTGTTGTGGAGTGACATGGAAGAGCTCAGTTTCCACTCAGAGGGGATAAGCTGCCCTCCGGCCAGTCCCCTCACCAGAGGCCGTGCTGCTGGGAGCACGGTATCAGGCAGGAGGCCACGTCAGAGAAGGTGTAATTCAGAAGTGAATTTTTTGGGCCTATGGAAATAAATGCTTGAATTTGGCTAAAGCACCATTCTCCTCAAATATGGTTTGGAGATGTTTTGGGAACCTCCACCTGATCAGTGTGTAAGACATATCCCAGTGGACATCAGAGAGCAAAAATTCTCTGAGAGAAAATTGCGTGGGGAGAGGCTGGTGGATGAGGACGTCTGCTCCTTTACCCTGTGACAGCGGTGAGGGTGGGTATGCACAGGGAAGGGCTGGTAGATGAGGACATCTGCTCCTTTACCCTGTGACAGCAGTGAGGGTGGGTGTGCGCAGGGAAGGGCTGGTGGATGAGGACATCTGCTCCTTTACCCTGTGACAGCGGTGAGGGTGGGTGTGCGCAGGGAAGGGCTGGTGGATGACGACAACGTCTGCCCCTCCTCCCTGTGACAGCAGTGAGGAGCTGTGGGGTTAGACATCTCGGGGTGAAGAGGAACCAGAGTGAGCCCACAAAGAGCAGAGTGTGGAGAAGGCCGGCCCTAGGGCATGGGGATACCAGGAGGGGCCGATGGCAAAGCCACAGCTAAACCCAGGAGCGCACTCTGGGGTGGCCCGAAACCCGTGGGCGTAATTACTGGGACCAGCCAGGCGGCCCCACGCAGGCACACGGACTGTGCAGGGGGCTGCACCTGCTGAGGAAAGCCCAGCGCCCCCCAGATCACGTGGCCCTGCTCCAGCTGAACCCCCCGCCTGGCTGCGAGTGCCCAGGGGGACGTGATGCGGGCCACTGTGCTCACTCACCCATCCGAAAGCCACTGGAAGCCCGGGCTCCCTGGGGCCGCGGACCGCGAGAACACCTCCACCCTGTCGGCCACCATGAAGGCGGAGTAGAAGCCCACGCCGAACTGGCCGATGACCTTGCTGCCAGCCTCAGCCTGGTTCTGCAGCGCATCCAGGAAGGCCTGCGGTGATGGAGGCCGGTCAGGGGGTGACCTCCCAAGGGGGCCCCGACTCTACACGAGCTAGCACCTCCCAGGCACAACCTCGTGCAATCGTCAAACATCCCACCATAAAGAGTTCAGTCAGAGAGACCACGTGACGTGCCCAAGACCACCTAGCCAGCAGCAGGGGAGCAGGTCCAGATTTGGTTCATGGCGCTGCAACTCTGCCTGTTTAACCCGCAAGTAAAGCAGACGCAGCGCAGGCCTGCGTCACAGGAGCGGGGGTGGGAGAGCAAAGGGGCCGCAGCCTCTGGGCGGGCGTGGACACACGGCGCTCAGTGGGAGCGGGCAGGGCAGAGTGGGGTGGAAGCAGCAGAGGACCCGTGTGGACCCCCGCATGGACTCTCACCCTGCCACAGCATGCCCCCGCAGGGTCCACCATGATATTCCCAGCAGCACCTAAGTCTGTGGCAGGACTCAAAAGGCTCTAGAACAGCCTCTTCGGGAAAGCTGGCTGTGCTCACAGTCCCCCCTCACTGGAAGGTGACACTGGGGGACATGAAGAGGGACAGGGGGGCAGCCCCCGGAGGCTGAGCCAGCAGAGGCTGAGACCCTGTACTGAGCTCCTGCCTAGCAAAGGGCAGCCACCCCTCCCCATCCTGCCTGGCCTCCTCCCTGCTGCCTGGGCCCTTCTCCTCCCCTTCTCTGTCCTTCCCATCATTCCACCCCTCCGAGATCACCCCACTGAGCTAGAGAAAGAAGGCTGCAGAGGGTCCAGGGGTGACCACGAATCGCAAACTGGGTCAGGGCAGAAGTGAGGGGAGATGCCTAGTTCTGCTCTGCATGGTGTTCCCAGCCAAGATGAAAGGATGAGAGCAAGGGCTGCTTGGGGATAATGGACTGAACACCACCCAGAGAACACACCTTATCTGGGGCATGGAGTGGGGAGCAGCTAGGGCTCCCCTAAGGAAAGGGGATGCCTGGGAACAAGCACAGGGAAAAGAGTGAAAGGAACCAGAGAAACCCCAGAAAGTATGGCCCCCGGACTCTCTGTCAACTCAGAACTAAAACCATTCCTGAGGCCAACTCATCAGACAAAGATTCGACTGGACTCTGGGACATAAAATGATATTCGTGAAGAGTGTGCCTCCTGGCTCAAGTAGATATGTGAGACTAAATGGGCAGCTTCTGTCCAGAGGCGAGATGAGAAGGCAGAGAGGGTCAGGAGCTGGTTGAATGGACACGGGAAATCTGGGGTGGAAAGGAGGAGTGTGCTGTCACAGTATAGGGAGAGCAACTAGGATCACATAACAATGTATGTATAAGTTTTTGTATGAGAGACTGACTTGAATTGTAAACTTTCACTTAAACTACAACTATTAAAAAATAAAATAAAATGGAACCAGACAACAAAGAGGAAGAAGGGCCCGGATGGAGCCCAGGCTGAAGATTCCTGAGGTAAGACCTTCCTCCCATGAACACACTCCAGGACCTTTGTTCCAGGAATCTCAGTCTTAGAGACATACCAAGAACCCACTGCCATCGAGTCGATTCCGACTCATAGCAACCCTGGAGACAGTCTAAGAAAATAATACAAAAGATTAAACAGATATAGCACGTCTGGGGAAGCCCACAGCAGCAGTACTGATAATACGAAGAGCCGGAAATTACTTAAACAGCCAGTGACAGACAGGTGCGGAAACTCCACACAGCCAGAGCTGACAGTAAACGGAGTGAGTTATCACAGAGAAGCACAAAACGGAAACATTCACCACCACCAGGTACCATAACAGCTTCCACTTATTGGGCACCAACTGAATGCCAGTAGGTTAGGTGTTTGTTATCAACTGAATTGTCCCCAAAAATGTGTACTGAAATCCTAACTCCTATGCCTGTCAAGAAGGGGCCCTGGTGGCACAGTGGTTAAGCACTCGGCTGCTAACTGAAAGGTCGGTAGTTCAAACCCACCAGCCGCTCTGCAGGAGAAAGATCAGGCAGTCTGCTTCTGTAAACATTACCGCCTAGGAAAGCCCACTGGGCAGTTCTCCTCTGTCCTATAGGGTCACTGTGCGTTGAAATCAACTTGGCGGCAACAGGTTTTGGTTTCGTGCCTGTCAGTATGACCCTGCTTGGGAACAGGGGTCTTTTTACATTAATGAGGTCACACCAGAGTAGGGTGAGTGCTAACCCGAATCACTTCTGAGTGACAAAAAGAGCAGAAGAGACGCCATGTGAGGACCTGCCTATAAGCCAAGGAGCTCCTGGGACTACTGACAAGGGAGGACCCTCCCCTGGAGCCAGTGCCCTGACTCGGCCGTCTCGCCTCCAAAACTGACCATAAATCCCTGTGGTACTTGTGTTACGGCAGCAGCAGGCAACTAAGAGACTGGTACCATCACTCCACGTGCCAGATGAGAACGCCCAGGCTTTCTCCACTACCACCAAGCACCTCTATAAAACACACACACATCTACATAAATACTGGTGGCAGTCACAGACAAATGCAGACATAGCTCTGTTAAAAACAGTCACACCATATTCAAGGACTGGAACACTCAACATAGTAAAGATGTCAATTCTCCCCAAATTAACACACAGAGTTAATGCAACTCTTATCAAAATCCCCGCAAGGTTTAAGCAAGATTATTCCAATATTAACATGGAAAAGCAGAGGAGCTAGAAAAACTAAAACAACACAAATAAAGAATAAAGTGAGACAAAAATAGAGAGGAATCACTCTACCTGTTTTCAAGACCCGTGATGGAGATACAGATTCCAGGTCGTGTGGTGTTGGTAAGAGAAAGACATACGTCCACAGAACAGAGAGCCCAGAAATAGCGCTGGACACACTTGGCCAGCTGGCTTTTGACAAAGGTGCAGAAGCAATTCAACGGAAAGAGTCTTTTTAACAAATGGTGCCGGAGAAATTGGACATCCACAGGCAAAAACGTGAACCTCAGCCTAAACCTCACACCTTATATGAAAACAAGCTCAAAACGGATCATAGATTTAAATGAAAAACTACAAAGCTTTTAGAAGAAAACATAGGACAAAATCTTCAGGAACTAGCATTTACTGATGAAAAAAGAGTCATCAATATAGTTCACTGTAAACTTTAAAAAAAAAAAAAAGTTGGTCGGCCTCACTGTCTTTACCCGGGATGTCCTGGCCAACCAAGCAGCTGAAGCCCAGGCAGCTACAGATGCGCCTTCGGGCTGGCTGCGGCTCTGTTCCACGTTTGTCCTGCCCATCCCTCTGCTCCTCAGAAAGTCACGCCATTTTTTCTTTTTTTGCAGGGCAGGAAAAGAGGAGACTTCTAAGTTAGTCTTCTCCATGATGTCTCCCAGATTTTAAGTTTGGTGAGGAGACAGAATCACAGGACGCTTAGCCATTGAACAATCCCACGTTACCAAAGCTCGCAAGATTAAAGATGAAGCGAAGTGCACACACTCACTGCTGCGGGCAGGCTGTCCTGGAGAACTTCTGTGACGATGGAAGTGTTCTCTGTTCTGTCCAATATGCTGGCGCCAACTACATGTGGCCATTGAGCCCTGAAATGCGGCTCGTGCAACTGAGGAGCTACGTTTTATTATTATTTGTTTTTTATTGTGCTTTAAGTCAAAGCTTAGGAGCTACATTTTAAATGTTAATTAATTTTAATTTACACAGCCACATGTGGCCAGTGGCTATGCTTGCTGGAAACGCAGCAAAAACTTAATGAGGGAAAAATGAACCACTGTGGTAAAGCAGCTTTTTTTTAAAGGTCGGCACTCCTGTGAATCACTTTGGACCAACCACTGGACTACTTTAAGGCAGCTGGCGTAAAGTGCCATTTTAGGTGTCACTCAAACCATCAGGAAAGCATTTGGTCACCGAGATGGGTGAAGGGGGCCAAGAGCCACCAGCCTCCATCCTGAGCTCGCAGACACGCTGGTGAGGAGGACACCTTGACTACCACACGCATCTCCCACCACAGCTTCGAGGTCACACTCCTCCCAACTGTTTGCCTCCACAAGGTGGTTCTGACAAGAACCTTCCAGCCTACAGACAAGGCCCAGTGCTGAGGAAGAAAGGCCCTCCTCGCCCCAAGCCTGCACAGCTCACAGAAGTGCTGACAGAGGAATCTGAAGACCAGCACCAGGAGGCAGGAAGCCGTGCCAGGACTCGGGCTGACAGGCTCTGAGCCAAGGGTCCGCCGACTTCTCGCTCTGGGCAAAGCGTTTATTTCAGTCTCCTCGTCTGCACGACAGGAGAATAAACAGATTCCACCTCAGAGTTGGCTGTGATGATAAAATGAAATCACGCCACAAAGCGTTCCCACAGCACCCGACACCCAGTCCGCACCTGGTCACTCGTCCCAGACTTTCGCGCCCAGCACTGTGGGGCTCATGTTCTCTGGGCCTTGCAGCCCAGGGGTGGCAGCAACCACACATCAAGAAAACAGGAAGAGGCAGTGGGGGCAGCCGGTGCTCACCTTTGACCCCGATCTGGCGATTGTTCCCAGGTTGGACACCAGCTCTTCTTGTGTCATTCCGATGCCGGTGTCCTGAGGAGAGAAGACTAAGTGTCAGAGCACCAGGGCCTGGTGAGCCCCCTCCACACACTCATCAGAAAGACCACCTGTAGTCACACTGGTCCAGGCTCATGAGAGAAAACCAGAAAGGGTAGCTGAGGTTTCCTTATTAAAAATCATCCTGAGGAACCCCTGAGATTACGGCCTCTAGGCACCCTGCTAACTCAGAACTGAGACCACTCCCAAAGCCCACTTTTCAGCCAAAGATTAGACCGGCTTATAAAACAATAACACAGATGAGGAACGTGTTTCTTGGTTTAATTAAGTATACGAGACCAAAGGGGCAACACTTACCTAAAACCGAAAACAAGAACGCAGAAAGGGACGGGAAAACTGGATGGACGGACACAGGGGAGCCGGCGTGGAAGGGGAAAGGGGGAGAGTGCTGACACACTGCGGGGATTGCGACCAATGTCACAAAACGACTTGTGTATAAACTTTTGAATGGAAACTAATTTGTGCTGTAAACTTTTCACCTAAAACACACACACGGGCACAAACGCATCCAGAGACGAAAACACTAAGTCAGCCACTGGCAGGGATGAGTACAAGTCTTCCGTGGCCTCGGACGCACCTTCTCCCGGGCTGTGCTGCTTCAGATCACCTATATCCTCCTTCAGCAGTTCTATCGATCCCGAAGAACAGCCCGAGGTAAGAGAATGCCAACAGTGGAGGCACACGCGAGAAGCGTGACCGCACAGGGACACGGACTTCGCGGCACTGCGCCGGCAGCGGGAGCGTGCCTGTGAGAGGCCGGCAGACGCCCACTCGGAGTCCCTGCTTCTCAACCACAGTGACGCGGCTGCAACCCACTCGTCCTGAAGCCAGGTGTCTGCTACTACCAAGCTTCCATCCCTTTATGAGCTGGGGACAGAGCGCTCGGAAGCCGTTTTCGGCCTTCTTCCACCACGTCATTTCTAACTCCCCTCAAGGACAGCCCACAGGGGCCACGGTGCCTGCCAGGCCCGGATGGCGGTGCTGTCCCACCAGCCACTCCTCTGGAGAAGCCGGCGGCAGAGCGGGGCTGGACACGCGACCCGACTCCGAGCCCTGCGTGGGACCCACAGACACCGCGCCAGGTGAAGACCTTACCCATTCAGCCCACACATAGGGGACGGACGGCATCCGGTGGGAACCTGCCACCGCCCCAGCCCCGCAAACCACAACCCAAGGGAACTGCGGTGCCCACGGCACGTGGCCGAGCCCAAGACTCAACACAAAGTGAGGTCTTTGTTAATTCCTCCTGAAGCGCTGGCAGGAAGAGCCCAGCATCCTGCCGGATCTGTTTACTGAGAGACACGTAATAGTTATAAATAAACTGCTGCGAACTAACTTCTCGTTGATGTCAGTCATTAGGTATAATTTACAGCCCAATGTTAGTCAGCACCTTCAGAAGGTTAGCACTGGGCTGGCACAGGGGAGGAGACGCCTTCAGCCGTCCCCCTCTTCACGCCCAACTTGCTCTGATTTCTTCCCAAATCGACCCAGATCTAAATCCTGGCAGGTTTTATGGAAAATGACAAGCTGTATACGGAAACGCAAGGAACCTAGGATATTTAAAACATATTTTTAAAAAGAACAAAGCTGAAGAACTTACACTAGCTAACACTAAGACTTCCCGTGAAGCACACAGCTACGACAGTTAAGACAGTGTGATGCTGGCACGGAAGGACAGACAGAGATCCAAGGACAGAATGGAGTCGAGAACCAGAACAACACAGATAGCGTCCCCTGATGCTGGACCAAGGTTCTAGGTAGTTCCAGGCCCTCGTCCTCTCGGGCACCCAGCACAGCCTTGGGGCCAACGTACCAGGCAGGACCCTCGCCACAGAGACCCCACTGTGCTGCACCCTCCACCTGTCCACAGGGACGACAGCACCTAACACACCGCAGCCGTCTCGGGGCCACGATGTCCCTCACGGCCATGGCTGGACGGGCCCCTCTTGCCTCTCTAGCTTTCTGACCATACAGTTTTCGAACGGCTGGAACAGCAACCCAGAGCACTGCTTCATCTAAAGCAAGACTGTTAATCCAGGCAGGCGGCTGCTTCTAAAAACACTGGCACGGAATATTTAATACTGTGGGAAAATAGCCACTATAAGAAAAAAAAGCAGCGTATACAGTCATGTGCCACCTAACATCCACGATACAGTCTGTGAAACAGGACATTATGCTACTCAAACGTTGTACGAACACAGTATTATATATGGGCAGTCCCTGTACAATCCGTAGTTATGAACCAACCCCCATAAAGCCTATTATATTAAAACCCTAGGGGAGCCCGCTGGACAAAGCCTGAGAGCTGTATCCAGTGGATGCAGGAGGCCGGCCTTGCCAGGCTGTGTGCCACACCAGGCCAGGGGCACATGGGGGGCATGGAGAGGTGGCTGCGGGGACTCGGGGGGAGCAGGTGTGCGCATGCCAGGAGTACAGCCGCCGCTGCCCGCAGCACGCAGGCACCCCAGGCCAGCCAGCACCTCCACCAGCAGCTGAGGCAGCAGCAAAGGGGAAGGAGGAGCTGTGGGACTGCGCTGCGCCCTGGAGTCCCGCTGCCCCATGCTGGGGGTTGGGGTCTTTAACACCATTAGGGAAAAATACTAATAAAGGGACAGTGGCTTTCCCTTTTAACACAGAAAACAAAAACCTTATGGGACCATGGTGTATGCGGTGGGACGTTGCCCAGAAGGACACCGTGCGGCACATGACTATAGTGTGACGTATAAGAGTATGTTAAAGGATAATACGCCGTTAACATGTTTACATATGTAAATATATACATACAAACAAAAACCTAAACAGACATATCCTGAAACATTAACAACAGCTATCTTCTGGAGGATGGGGTGGTTTTTTCTTCTTTTTTGCTTACCTGTGGTTTCCAAATTTTCTATAATGAATAAGTGTAATTTTTATAGTAAAATAAGACAAAAGTCATTATAAAAACAAAGACGGTCCCCATGTTATGTGGAGTCTAGAGACAAAGCTAAAATGCAGGCCCGCCTCTCCCGCGCTCGTGTGTGAAGCTGGGCCCCTGCCCACCAGCTGCCTGGCCCGGTCACGCTGTGAGTGGCGCTGGCGTCATCAGGAGGCGGGCAGAGGGGGTCCTCGCAGTCTGGATACGGAGGAGATACCTGGACGGTGATGGTGCCCTTGTCGGCATCGGTCTGCAGGTGGATCTCCATCTCCGGCAGCGTCTGGCCTTCGCACACCAGCTTGTGCCGCAGTTTCTCCAGGGCATCACTGCTGTTGGAGATCAGCTCCCGGATGAACACCTGTGGGGAGGGAACGAGGGCACTGCGGGTTGCGGGCGGCGACACCGCACTATCTGCTGCTTCGCCGCGTTTGCAACAGCTGCTAGAAGTGCAAGGAGCGCTGTTAAGGGACACCCAGTTCTCCAAACACAACAGCTCTCCACCTCGCCAAACACAGACACCCTGCTTCTCTGGGGCCGCTAGCTTCTCCCTGATACAATCAATGCCTACTGATCTTTCTGGAAAATCAAGCTTGAAGTTGCATGTTAAGTGAACCCAAACCTTGAGAAGAAACTGTGAGAGACTGTTTCTTCCCAACTCTTGCACAGGGATGACAAAATACCTGTGTCTCCTTCTCCACGAAAAGAGTCCCTACCTGCATTTCATCTAGTGGGGTCATCAAACCAGACTCATACCCAGGGCTCAATCATCTTTTCAGCGTCTGAAAGCACCTTTGCCTCAAACAGGCCTTCTGCCTTCAGTGAGCTACAGCACACGGGTGAGAGGGAGAGACTGGGTGATCTGACCCCAAGAAAACAGAAGCTGGTAGTCAGAGAGATACCTGAGCACAGTATTTAACAGTATAAGACCCGGATGCAGTTCCTGAAAAGTTCCTTTTTGCTTTGTAACACCGTGCCTCACCCTTCTTCAAAGCTGTTCCTCGCGTTCCAGCAACACCGAACATGACACCGATGGCCTGCTGGCTCTCCTCCACCCTTTGCGTGTTCTGTCGCCCCTACCTGATTCTCAATCCCCTCAGAGACTTCTGCTGTCCCTCCTCACTGCTCTACCCGACACAGCGCAGGGGTTCTTCTTCCTCCAGCCCCCAGGACCCCCAAGCTTTCAGGTGGTTATGCCAGGTAAGGTGGAAGTGAACAGGGGCCTCCGGACACACCCGCCATATGGGGCTTTCACACGCCACAGAAACAGCTCTCAGCAGAGCCCCGTGTCATTATCTGGGGGACTTTTAAAGTTATCAACAAAAGTCAGTTCATTCCAGAATCAATCTGGCCCAGAGATTCATGTGGATATATTTAACCATGAAACCAGAAACAGATTTCGATTAAAAAAAAAAAAGAAAAAAAAAAAAAAAAAACTCTTGCTGCTAGCTGAGATCGGGCCCTGTCCGATGTTTAATGCGTTCTCACAGCAAATACGCCACCTGACATGTCCCCAGAATTGTGTAAGAACAGTTTTGCCAAGAGAAACCCGGCTGGCACTGGACACTGGACGTGACTGGCAGGCGCCATACCTCTTTCTCAGAGTACAAGGAACGAGCAACAATGTCCAGAAGCTTCTTTGTCTCGGCCTGGAACTCGTGCTTGGAAACGGAACCTAGTAATTAATCACAGACACAGCCAATGCAGTTCAATTTCTATTATTGTGAAGGAATATGCCACACAACATTCAAAAGAGCTTTTAAGGTTATGAATTTAAAACACTTTTGAAAAAAGTGAATAAAAAGAAAGAAGTGAGCAGAAACAAAATCTCCAGAGAATCCCAGGAAAGGATGTCCTGGGAGCAGACAAATCAAGGCACTCCAGAGAGGGACGAACGTGGAACAAAACCAACGCCAGCCTCCTGGGATGCCGAAAACGCCCCAGGGTGCCTCAGGTGGGCTGTCTGCCTCATCCTGGGAACCAGGCTGGCTCTAACAACCAGACCCAGGATCACATTCCTCAAAAAGTGGTTTCCAAATGAAGTTATTTAAAAACAAAACAAAAACAAAAACCCTCACTTTTCTTCTTAATGCAAATATCAAAGATTCTGTTCTGATTGTCTCACTGGAAAGCCAGCAGCGGAGCCGTGTCGGGACTGGCTCTGCAGATGGCTGCTCTGTGCTTCTCAGGAATGGGAATTCGATCCTGTCCAGCTGGGCCAAGGCTGATCGCTAGCAGATGTGCCATGAATCATCGCTTGGAGACGCAGCACCACGCTGCGATCTCACGGGTGACCACCAGGGGGTGTAACACACATTGCGATGGAAGTCAAAGCTCCTGGCTAGGACAGAAATGGAGGACGCATCATTTTGGGGATCACCCTACCGCCAAGACCTGCGTAATTCTGGAGTGAGGAGGGGGCTCTATCAGATCAGCGATGCTTCTAGCTGAAAACTTTCCCCTATGAGCCAGCAAAGAACCAAGAAAGACGCCTGAGACCAGACCGTGGCCGAAGGCACGTTACCCTGGACGGTCTCCGTGCTGCTTATGATCGAGTGCAGGGGCTCTTCCTTCTGGTCTTCAGCAGCCTGTGTACTGTACGTCTGTCCCACGGGGACGCTAGCTGTGGCCAGGTTTCGCCAGGGGCTCTCTGACTGGACTGTGGTCCTCCAAGGACACAGAACTGGTTTTCCTAAAAAAGACAACAGGCAAAAAGACAGAATTAATCGGACATCAGAAACAGAGTATCTTAAGTTGCTCACATCTGGTTTGTCTAGCAAAAACTACTGTGGATTTTCTCTAAGGCAGGCTGTTACTCAGCAGACCTAACGTTACCCAGGAGAAATCAAAAGGGACAGAGCACTGTACAGCCAGCTTATGTTGCAGTGGTTTAGGTAACATACCCTCATACACATCTAATACAGAGCATGTGTGTGATGTTAGTGGGGACAGCAGTGGGTCAGTGGTAGAATTCTCGCCTTCCATGCTGGAGACCCAGGTTTGATTCCCGGCCAGCGCACCTCATGTGCAGCCACCACCCGTCTGTCAGTGGAGGCTTATGTGTTGCTACGATGCTGAACAGGTTTCAGCAGAGCTTCCAGAATAAGATAGACTAGGAAGAAAGGCCTGGTGATCTACTTCTGAAAATTAGCCAATGAAAACCCTATGGTCTGAACCCACTGTGCATGGGGTCATCGTGAACTGAGGAGGGCTGACTTGATGCCAGCTAACAATGACGACGACAAGATGCTGGGGCTCATCAGAACCTCAGGCGCAAGGCAGCAGGAGACGGATGAACCCTTCTGAAAGCCCTTCCCACACGAGCACGTTCTCCAGGTGAGATCCAGTATAAACACCAGCTGCTGTTGAGGAGACACACACCGTGTAGACGTGCAGGGTGCAGACACACAGGGTGGCCTGACGTGTGTCAGAGCAGAACTGTGCTCCACAGGGTTTTCAATGACTGGTTATGCAGAAGTAAATCGCCAGGCCTTTCTTCTGAGGCACCGCTGGGTGGACTTGAACCTCCAGCCTTTCAGTTAGCAGCCAAACTCGTTAATTGTTTGCACCACCCAGGGCCTCCTGAGATCTAGTGTAAACCCACCAAACTCAAATATGCCTTGATCCCCTCAGCTCCTACAGGAACTGAAAATAAACTGCTAAGTTACTGTGTAACTTAACTGAAAGGAGAAAAAACATCTGCTCCCCTAAGAGGGATCCGAACTTTTAAGCTTTAATATTCTGTCTAGACGTCCTCTAAAAGCTTATTCGTTTCCTCGTCTCTCTTGTCCAAAACAGAGTTTAAAAAGCTTAGAGTATTTTGGGAGTGATGAAAACTTCCGGAAATAGTGGTGATGGCTGCCAACATGGCGACTGGAATCAATGTCGCCGAGTTGTACACGGAAGAAACTGCATCTGCCTGTGTACTACTCTTACCTGCAGATGCGAAACTGACAGAAAAGATTTAGAGCGCCCAGAAATAAGCAAAGGTTTTTAAATTAACATAAAAACTTCTGCATTCCTACAAGGTGTAAAAACATGATTATTCGTTAAGCTACTCCTCGATTTATAAACAACATGAGCCCAGCCTCTATCAGTACTCAGGATACCTTCAAACAATCTACCCCAATTCGGAAAAGATTCAATTTCCAAACCGTCTAAATACGTCATTCTGTAGGCCTAAGGGCACCTTTCACTTTACCCATGTAGATAAGAACAAACGTGCGGGATTTCTTCTGGGATCGAGTAACGTTTGTTATTACAGGATTTAGCGATGTCTGTGCTAGGCCGGGTGCTGAAGCTCCTGCGCCCCCGCTGCAGCCCCGCACCCAGGCAGGGCCAGTGCTTCATCCCCGGGGCTAGCTCCCAGCACACAGCGGCGAGTGCCCGCCCAGCAGAGCCCGAGCCCCCGTGCTGCCCCCACTGTCACAACGCTCACACCGCATTCAGAGAGGCAAGACACTGCAGACGTCGAAAGGCTCCCCAAAAGCTGGGGACCAACCCTCTCCTTTAATGAACTGTAAAACTGGGAAAGGAAACCAGGCAGACTGGAATAAAGGAGTGATGTCTTGAGGGATGAATCAGCCTGGAAAGATGGGGCCATGGAACACTGCAACTCTAGACACCCTGACATGAGTGGACGCTCGAACTGGGAGCAGTGAAGGAAAGCCTCTGAAGAAAGGTGAGCAGGACACCAAAGGCTGAGGGCCGGCTGTGTCCTCCACCTCAGTCCTGTGAGCAGCCTGTTACGCACCAGCCACCCATGAGGAACTCCCGCATCCAGTCCTCCACCTCTGTGAGCAGCCTCTTACGCACCAGCCACCCGTGAGGAACTCCCGCGTCCAGTCCTCCACCTCTGTGAGCAGCCTCTTACACAACAGCCACCCGTGAGGAACTCCCTCGTCCAGTCCTCCACCTCTGTGAGCAGCCTCTTACACACCAGCCACCCGTGAGGAACTCCCGCGTCCAGTCCTCCACCTCGGCCCTGTGAGCAGCCTCTTACGCACCAGCCACCCGTGAAGAATTCCCGTGTCCAGTCCTCCACGTGGGGGGCAGCAGAGCACCCCTCACTCGCTCTCATCATGTCTGACCCGGCAATAGAGGAGGACAGTGATGTGGTCTTCTTCCAAGCAGTGACATCCAGGTGGCATTCATTAGGCTCCCCCCACCCCTTTCTCTGGCCCCCTGGACTTAGCCCTCGCTGTCCACTCTCGACAGGCCTTTGGTCCAGTTCCTCATCCTTCATACCTCCACGAGTTCACAGCCATCCAGCCAGTGGCCTGCCTGCAGTGTTGGGCCCTCCAACCCGTCCCTTCAACAACTACAAGTGTATCTTCCCACCCACCTCAGCCTGTTGCCCCAGGTTTCAGAGGAATTACTCCTGACCACAAAGTACGTCAGGCTGGCAGCCGAGGCCTCCACCAAACGATGTCCCAAACCTCCAGGCTCTATCTCCTTCTGCCCGACACAGCTGGCCTGCTGACTGTCCTCTGCGCCCTGCGGCCCCTCATGCCCTCACCTGCGCACTGTGCACCTGCATCCTGAAATGCCTCCCACCCTCTTCTACACCATTGAGCTCAGCCTGGCACCAAAAACACCAAACCCATCGTTGTCGAGTCGATTCCAACTCATAGTGAGCACTTACTCAGTGACTGCTCGCAGGCCCTGAGAACATTTGAGAACCCACCACACCCTCAGGAAGAGATGCTGTTTTTCCACACTGGGAAACTGTATTTGAAGTAATTCCTGATTCATCCCCTTTGAATAAAAGCAGCAGAATTTACTGAATTGATCATTTCTCCCCACCTTCTGTCCCACTCATGTTCCGCCAACAGTCCTTTACTTACCATATACCTTCTTTTCCCTGCGAAAGGAACAGGCTGCAATCCTTCATAGTATCTCTCTGCCAAAGACCATCCCAATCCGAGGAAAACCCAGAACCCAGGCGAGACCGAACACTGCAGAAGCTAAGGGCTCTCAGTATCTTGAGACTCCCATAAACTACCTGTCCTAACCTGCTCCCAGAGAGAGAAACCTGATTTATGGACTGAGTACTCTTTACTTCCACTCTTCTATGCGTATATATGTTTAACCAAGACCACATCTGAGATATCCTTCCATGTTACTACCTACAGAGCTGCTTATTCTTTTTAATGGACACACAGCTTTCCACTGGAATGGGTGTATACCAACGAGCTTCTAACTAGTCCTCAACTGATGAGCATTTAAACAGTCTCCAGTCTTCTGCTATTAAAAATACCACTCCAAAGTGACAGAGTTACCTATTGTTTGCTTCCCTTCATGGAAGAAAGAAGAGGATACAGGAACATACACACTTCTGCTCATTTGTGCAAAGGCAACAGGAAGGATACGCCAGACAGTAGTGAGACGGGCTGCCTACAGGGGGTGTGGGACCACGGTGGAAAGGACGGGGACGGGGCAGGGATGAGGGGGGTGTGATCTCTCCCAGCACCCCTTTTTGCATGTCTGACTCTTGGAGCCATGGTAGTGTTTCACAAACCCCCCAAAATAAATAACTGAACCCCCCGCCCCAGGGCGTGCAGGAGCACAAAGTGAAATACAAACGGTACCAAACGTTCACCCTGGATTGGGAAGAACACAGTCACCCTGAGGGGATGGGGAAGAAGAGAACCTAGGAAACTTGGGGTGACAGCACTCTGACTGCACTGCGTCGTCAAGGACTTCACGGTTACTGTACCCCAGTCAGTAAGTTTGTTTCTCCAAGGGGGCTGGGTTAGCAACTCTGAGATGACCTCACGTATACACTTGCCGTTAGGTGCCCTCGAGTCAGTTCCGACTCACAGCCGCTCCACGCCAAACAGGACGGAACGCTCCCCGGCCCTGCGCCAGCCTCATGATCCTTGTTACGCTTGAGCCCACTGCTGCAGCCACTGTGTCAGTCCATCTCGTTGAGGGTTTTCCTCTTTTTCACTGACCCTCTACTTTACCAAGCATGATGTCCTTCTCCAGGGATTAACCCCTCCTGACAACATATCCAAAGTGTATGAGACAAAGCCTTGCCATCCTTGCTTCTAAGGAGCCTTCTGGCTGTACTTCTTCCAACACAGATTTGTTCGTTCTTCTGGCGGTCCATGGTATATCCATTATTCTTCACCACCACCATAGTTCAAAAGAGTCAAAATGTAATACTATGTATATACTGGGATCCAGCAAATAAATATATTGTTGATAACAAGAGCCAGGTTTCTCACTATTGAAGAAAGAGTTACAAGTAAGAAAAGGAGAGACTGGAATTAGAGGTTATCAGTATGATACCTCACTGGGATTTTAGTGGCCCAGTGGTTGCTCGGCTACAGCCAAAAGGTCAGCAGTTCGAATCTACCGGCCACTCCTTGGAAATCTATGGGGAGTTCCACTCTGTCCTACAGGGTTGCTATGAGTCAGAATCAACTCGACGGCAATGGGTATGGTATTTTTTTGTCTTTTTACCAAACCCATTGCCACTGAGTCAATTCCGACTCTCAGCGACCCTGTAGGACAGAGAAGAACTGCTTCATAGGGTTTCCAAGGCTGTAATCTTTATGGAAGCAGACTGCCACATCTTTATCCCTTGGAGTGGTTGGTGGGTTCGAACCGCCAACCTTTCAGTTAGCAGCCCAGTGCTTTAACCGCTGTGCCACCAGGGCCCCCTAGATAGATACAGATATATAG